TTGAGTCGAATTTAGCTTAGGTCAGGTCACTTTCAGGTCAAAAAAGGTCAAATTTTGAAGTTTGAATTTTTCAACAGAAAAGGTGTCTATTGGATGCAGTTTGAGCTCAGGAACACGATGGTGCTATTTATATTGGCGTACGATGTCAAATACGTGCTGAAAAATTGGTTTGAAAAATTAATAATTGTGAATTTTTTGCAATAATGCGTATAACTTGGCCATTTTTGAAGATATTTAGCTAAAACTTGCTAGAGTTAGTCATAATAACGCGTTCTATCACATATATTCCGGTTTTTTTCGAAAAGTCAAAAGCTTTTTGAAAAAAAATGTAAAAATACAAAATTTTGAATTTTATTATATAAAATTTTCAAAATTTTCAAAATTTCGAAAATCCGAGATAGCAGTTTGATAGCGCAGTCTATTTTGAACACTCTCATGCAAAGAAATTGGATCTAGCTTAAAAACTGAGCCCTTGGGAGCGATTGCCGTGGTTCAATGTTTTGCGTCGAAATCGGCCGAACATGACGTCACTCTGACGTCATTTCCGGCCGACCTATGGTAGCTACGAAGTTCAAATTTTGACACAAGGTGTCAAATTGATGCGGCCGAAGGTACTGAAAGTTTGGCGTTGATGCGTCAAGCGGTTTGGAAGTTATTGCAGAAAAACGGGAGGGGGGGCTATAAATAGCCCCCCCCCAGTGGGGCGCGGGTTAAATTATCTCTTTAGTTATGCATAAAAACAAACAAATAAATAGATATTACGTCAGTTGCCACGTAGTATGCCGCACACTAATTAAAATCCATTGTGATATGATGAAAAAAAATAGATACCAAACACAGAATAACTCAGCCAATCCAGTCCAGCATCCGACATTTGATAGATGAATAAGTCCCGCGGTATCATAAAGCTGTACCAGCGTGACAGCGCTGGACTCTGTCCTATATACGGTCCAGGCAGTTCCGGTGTCTGACGGGTTCCGCCGGCGCCCTAACAGCGCACCACATGTGCCCTCCGCGCCCCATTTGCCGCCGCTGACGGGGGTCTGGAACGGGGAGGAACGGTCTGGCACGGGAAGGCCGTGTAGAAACAACGAACGCACCGGCGCGGTGGCGAGCACAGGCGTCTGAGCGGCTGGGCAGGGGACCCACACCATCTGGCTACCCCTGATCCAGTGGCTGTACCATTCGAGATCCGCTGCCCCCTCATGAAGCACGGGGGACATATCTCAATTGTGACCCACCAAAACGTCTCCAATTTGAAAAATCTGTAAATTTAGTTCCATCAAAAGCCGTAGGGGAGAGTGGGGTAATTTGGCCGCTTTTTTTTAGAAAACGATATAACTTAAAATTGACGACACATTTCTGCATTTTCTCAACGCTGGCAGGTGTCGCATTCATTTTACTTTACTGGACAGTGAACTTGAAATGATAGAGTAATTACTTATATTGAAATTGTGACGTATTACAAAGGTCTGCAAGGCGGCCAAATTGCCCCACTAGCAGGGTTATTTGGCCGGGGGTGTGGGGCAATTTGGCCGGTGTTAGGTTGCGGTCGGGATTTTCTGTTATATTGCGAGTCAGCTTCAGATTCAGCAATGACGTGTGTCCTATGACGCATTTGCCGCATTTTGGAGGTTGACTCAGGGGTCACAGGGGTCAAAATAGCCAAATTAGCGGCTCTAGATGCGATCACAGTTTTTTTACGAATAACTTTTGAACTAATCAAGCTAGGCCAAAACTTCGAGTACCATCGTAATTCTCTCGTCAGTCCGCATCGAAAGATATATAAGTTGACCTTGAGAAGTCAAGGTCAAAGGTTGACCTCAGGTCACGTTGCATCAGGTCGCTTGACCTCAAGGTCACGTGATTTCAAGGTCATCATGCATATCATTCGATGCGCCTTGGCGAGCTGAACAGAATGAGACCATTTGTGCGGCTGTACCATTTTTATGTAAGGATTTATTAGCAAAAAACGTTTGGTAACCTTTGATGACGTCACATGCTCTTACAGTTGACCAATCGGAAGTAAGGCATCAAAGTAGTCAAAGTTGGTCATGAATCATGTCATTTATGGTACAATTGACCATGAAAACTCGGCCGTCCCAGCATAGTGACCATGAGCGCACCGGCCAAGTTGCCCCGCTAGTCCCGGCCAAATTACCCCATATTGCCATTCTGAAAATTTTTGTCTATAAAGTCATCACGGCTATACGAAATTAGCTAAAATTGCTCTTGGAACCGCTGAACACCCCCAAGAATGGCGCTATAATGTCTGAATTCGTTTTTAGCCCAAATACTACATGTTATACAACTTTTTAAACAGAAGTAAAAGTTACCATTTTCTAATGAAATTAACGTTTTATTAATTTTGAATAAAACTACGAGGGGCAAAGTTTTGACATTTGTCCTCCAGTTATTTCTACCCATGACAAATGAATAGAGACTAGAGTTATTTCACTCACTTTTATTAGACATCGTACAGGTGGGGGCGGCCAATTTACACCACCGGCCAAATTACCCCACTCTCCCCTAAATGCACCAATTCACTGCGCATCGGTGTCTATGGCCTTTTATCATACTGTCGCATTGTGGTGTCTACATAACTAGTGTCAGTGTCGAAACGTGCGCGTCTGTGGGACCTGTTTCCAAGAGATCCGTATTGAGACTTATGCATTGTATTTCATGCATCAGTGCGTAATGGAAGAGCACAAGTGTTACGGCGCTTGTGGGAGAGACGCGCGAGACCTGTATGGCAGAACGTGAGTGAATCGGCATATGGTAGGTGCAAGCTGATAGCGCTACTGGTAGCAGTGTTATCTGCGCTAAGACGCTAAGCTATCTGCGCTAATCTATCTGCCTTATCTGCTCGTGGGGCATGCTTCTAGACGAAAAGCGAGGTTACTGCCTTATTTCATTATTTTAATTTTCATTTCTAAATATTTGCTTACTGACATTTTTAGCATTTTACAGGGGTGCCTCATTTTATATCCTTTACCATCATAGCCTTATATTTCTGGACGTTTAGCCTCATAACCTTTCGATTTTTGCTTCGTTTTACCCTTGCCTCGGATTTCCTTTCATTTCGTTGAATACTTGTAGTTACACATATGCTTACATACACGAGAGGACAATCATGCAAACATTAGTGTCTTGGATCGACGAAAGAGTTCACAGCCCTTTCACCGGCACCTGTTTCAACGTCTAACACACATCATAGGATAGGTATTTCTTGAAATAAATGTAGCAGACATGAGAGTTTAGTCTTAAATAAGTAGGAGCTGATGGTAACTAGCAAGCATGAACATTGAACACTTATTCATTCATTCATTCATTCATTCATTCATTCATTCATTCATTCATGCCAGCAATTAGTCATTCTAGGTTAATTGAAGGCTCAATGCTAAGGTGTATTCTTCCGATCTTTTCACTCTTTACACTTATAAATTTGTCATCTCTGGAACTTCACCTCATATGTCGATCCGAAAACTTATAACCAGTATAACGCCTTTTGGGGCGACTAACGGAGCGAGCGAGAGGGTGGGCCTTGCACGTGCGAAATTGCGAGGGGGTACCTCCAACTGACTTGTGCACGGCACCCTACTAACTGGTCTCTAGCGATGTGCCAAATTTGGGCACAATCGGCCCAGCCGTTCTCGAGATCTGGAAGCGGCACCCTGCACGTGCGCACGTGCAAAATGGGTCCCAACTGACTTGTGCACGGCACGCTACTAACCGGTCCCTAACCGTGTACCAAATTTGAGCGCAATCGGTCCAGCCGTTCCCGAGATCTGGAAACGACCCCTGCACGTGCGCACGTGCAGCAGCACCCCAACTCTGGCACATGTATATGCAGTGCCTAGTGGGTGCCTACCTACATGCCAACTTTCAGCGCAATCGGCCAAGTAGTTACCGAGATATTGCAACAATTACAAAAGTGACACCTCTTCGTTTTGCACGTGGCACGTGCATAAGGGGTCACCCACATGCATCGGGAATAGTCCAATACTTGGTAGAAGGAATGAAGCTACCCTACAAAAATTACCGCGTGTAAATCGGTCAAGTGGTTGCTGAGATATAAGCCTCGCAAAAGCGTGACCACGGCCGGCCGGCCGGCCGGCCGGCCGCTCATACTCAGAAATTTCCGTTAATCTAAGGAAAGACTACGCTCGCTTCGCTCGCTCCGTAATTACCAGTATAACGCCTTTTGGGGCGACTAACGGAGCGAGCGAGAGGGTGGGCCTTGCACGTGCGAAATTGCGAGGGGGTACCTCCAACTGACTTGTGCACGGCACCCTACTAACTGGTTTCTAGCGATGTGCCAAATTTGGGCACAATCGGCCCAGCCGTTCTCGAGATCTGGAAGCGGCACCCTGCACGTGCGCACGTGCAAAATGGGTCCCAACTGACTTGTGCACGGCACCCTACTAACCGGTCCCTAACCGTGTACCAAATTTGAGCGCAATCGGTCCAGCCGTTCCCGAGATCTGGAAACGACCCCTGCACGTGCGCACGTGCAGCAGCACCCCAACTCTGGCACATGTATATGCAGTGCCTAGTGGGTGCCTACCTACATGCCAACTTTCAGCACAATCGGCCAAGTAGTTACCGAGATATTGCAACAATTACAAAACTGACACCTCTTCGTTTTGCACGTGGCACGTGCATAAGGGGTCACCCACATGCATCGGGAATAGTCCAATACTTGGTAGAAGGAATGAAGCTACCCTACAAAAATTACCGCGTGTAAATCGGTCAAGTGGTTGCTGAGATATAAGCCTCGCAAAAGCGTGACCACGGCCGGCCGGCCGGCCGGCCGGCCGCTCATACTCAGAAATTTCCGTTAATCTAAGGAAAGACTACGCTCGCTTCGCTCGCTCCGTAACCATTGACATCTACGGAAAGGCCGATGGCTTCCGTTAGGACGTCCGACACTTGCCTCATCGCTCCAAATAACAGCTGTTTCTGGCGGATGCGCCCTGCCTCTGACAATGCACACTTACCGAACGAATCGCCGTCTTCATTGTCCGCTCCCTAAGACTGAAGGCCTGCGATAGGTGCCTGGCAGCCCGCCCACTGCGATGCCGAGGGGTCAGTCGATGCCGAGGGGTCGAAGACTTCAGTCGATGCCGAGGGGTCGAATCTCACAGCTACTTTTGCTTGCTGTTTTCACCTCTCATAGTATAATGTCACCCACGTTGGCACAAGCCATTGCCAATCATTTAGTCACACAAGCCTTCCAACAGCCGGCAATCTGCTCCCCAGGCACTCCCGCACGCGCCCATCGCCCCCGGCGTCGGTGCCACATCTGCCGACGGCACCGCCGCGCCGCCGGTCCGCCGCCCGGGGCCGCATCGATGCGTCGGCTCCCCTCCTCTGCCGCCCCGGCGACGCGCGCGCGGCCCGCAGAGACGCTGAAATTGGAGCCATGTGTACGCCGGCTGCGGGAAGGGGACCGTCGGAGAGGGTGGTAAAGTGCCGCGGTAATTCCGCTTTGAAAGAGCCGGTAGCCCCTGTTAGTTGGAACTTTATCGTTGCTAGAGCCAAGGCCCTACGCTAGAGCAAGTATTTGTGGAGGAATTAGTGAACTAAAGAAGTCGCAAACGGCAGCAGAAACTTTGCCTCACAGCGAACGGGTGAGTGTTATAGAGATTGGGCGATTGTATACCTACGCGGCACCTTGCCAGCTCCGGCGGCCTGGCCCGCTCTGTGGAACGGCCAAATAAACCGTTTCGCCAGCGCGGCTCGGCTTGGCGGTGCAGAGGAGGAGAGACAGCTCCCGTCAGACTGACCCACCTGGCAATCAGATGTGCTAAATCAGTGCCCAGGGCCTATCCTCATTGCTTAGCGTGCTAAAACCTTACGGGTATTTAATAATGGGGATGTTGGCTTTACGATTGCGCTGTGCTGAAGCAATTTGACAGCCTTCATTTGTTTCCTATATGGTCCACAGTCTATAAGCCATTACATTTTAATAAAATCAAGCAGAGAGGCCGCTGTAAAATACATAATAAACATATTCATAGGTTATCCATCGTGCTTGATAAAAGGAATTTTAATTCAAAAATGAATAATAGTAGAAATAGGTCGGCATGGTATTCTTTCCAAGCTGGACTATTTTCTTTTATTTCTACAATTACAGTCGGCGCACAGACTGATCTCCGTTGCAGACGGCCGTCCATTGTTGCAGCGGGTGGTCCACAGACACTGTGTTTTCCATGAAGGACCCGCCACCACCCCAATGTAAGCAAATAAACGGGACTTTGATCCTGTCTACGGCTGCGTACATATACAGTGACATCCGTCCAACCTCTGACCTGGCCCTGACGTTGAGAGTCGCTGTGAGTCAGTCACCAAAGCGGAGTTCAACAAAGGCAAAGGTCAATCATTCTCGACTTTGGTGTTTTTGACAGCCTGACTCGGAGAGTAGAATAGCTGCAACACCGAGAGAAAAATATTTTATTACTATGCTTGTATCAAGCTATCTCGCAAGCATGTGCACAGATAGTTGCTATACTGAGAGCACAAGATGGGTCGTCGGGTCAACATCGGATGACCACCATTTGGAAATAAGACAAATTTGGGATGAGCGACTTCGCATTGGGGTTTCAGCCACCTTCTTCTACATGAAGGCGGCTGGAAAAGGTCCAACTAAAATGCAAAAGTCCAGAATTTTGGTAACAACATGATAATATTTCTAAAAGGATGAAGTGAAAAACAACACAATGCACCCGAGAGATCCCGTCATTGAGGAATTGCCATCTACGGTATGCGTGCACCTTAGCTGCTCTTGGGAATACATGATTTATCGTAATAATTAGACTAACCGTTTTCATATGATATTCAGCTGTATCTTTTTTTGCGAGAGTACTAACTAGCCATAAATCGATGCAAAATTCTAGGAGAGATTTTCTAAAGACTACTAAGATGCACGACATATATGATCATATGTTTTCCAATAACCAGAACATCGCTGCAAACTATAGGATATTCCCGTTCGGTTTTCTTAGTAGCTATGACGCCCTCACCCGAGCTCAAACCAGTTTTACGGGCCAGCCAGCCGCCAGGCGGCGGCAAAATGCTGGTGCAGCTGTATAAAGTAGCCGGACGGTCGGCTGTCTACAACACATCGCCTCTCAGCACTCTAACGATGGCACCTTCCTTCGTCTGCCTTGTGGCCCTGGTGGCGGCGGCGGCAGCCTATGCACCTCCGGAGCCGGCCGCCTATGCGCCTCCGGAGCCGGCGCGCTGCTACTCGGAACACCTGAGCAAACACTTTAACGTCGGCGACAAGTGGACCGAGGCCGGCTGCCAGCAGGCCGAGTGCGTCGACGGCCAGGCCAGCCTGACGCAGTGTGCGCCGGTGGCCACGGCCGACGCCACCCTGCCGTCGGCCCGCTGTCGACAGGTGGACGGCGCCGTCGACGGCCAGTACCCGGCCTGCTGTCCGACGGCCGTCTGCGACCAGTGCTACTCGCAGGAGCTGGACACCGTCTTTGACGACGGCGCCGTCTGGACCGAGGCCGGCTGCACCCAGGTGACCTGCGACAAGGGAAGGGTGGCCTCCGTGACGTGCCCGCTGGTCAAGCTGGCGGCCGGCTGTCGGCTGGAAGAGGGCGACGCGACCGGCGCCTACCCGAGCTGCTGTCCGCAGCCGGTCTGCCCGCGGCCCGACCAGTGCTACTCGGCCGAGCTGGACCAGGTGTTTGACGACGGCGCCGTCTGGACCGAGTCCGACTGCACCCAGGTCACGTGCCAGGCCGGTGAGGCGGTGCGCGTGCCGTGCGCCGCGGTGGCCGCCGAGCCGGGCTGCGAGGTGCGTGAGGGCACCGCTGGTGGTCAGCACCCGACCTGCTGTTCGCAGTCGTACTGTCCCACCACCACGGCCCCGCCGCCGCCGCCGCCGGCCAAGTACTACTAAATAGCGTGTGCTTAGTAGAAGCCTTGAGGCTGTCTTCCCTGTTCCCTGTTATTTGTTGACCAATGCATTATGAAAATATACGAACATTTACCATGTCGAAAAAATTTTGATTTTGCATGTCAACAATTGTTCAAGCAGTTGATTGAACTTACAACGGCCACATGGGTAGAAGTTCTTACCCGAGCATGAGCAATCACTGATCAAAGGCTGCTCGTTATCACTAGACCATGGATGAAAAATGTGATATCTATTTCTCATTAATGACGAGACATTTGTAAAAATGTATATTACAAATAGGTTTGAACATATTAAAGGCAAACATAGGCTGGAAAATCCAATCAATGCTTTGCTTTAGAAGTTAGGAAGTTAAACATTACAAAGTTACAACCTGACGCTTTACCGGTTACCAAAAAAGAAGCGTCTTTTTCGAAGTGTCGCTAGTTGAAATGAATAGAAACGCAAATCCTATGACTGTGCACTGCCACTGCATTCTAGTGGCCAAGACCGATACGTAAGGACCAGTAATTGAGAAAGCATGACATGTCCTACTCAGTGAAATAGCATGTATAGCATGGCGTGCAGGTGTTATCCTACATCATTTAAAAAACACAATATCTTTTGAATACGGCATTGGTTAGGTTTAGGTACTTATGGTAAATGCCGCTTACGGCTGGCATGTTTGAAATATTTTGGTAAGCTTCAAACGTGATATTGTTGCGGCGTGATAACTTTTTGTTTTACCGTTGTTATTTAGCTCTCTTCAGTGCCTGCCGTGCTGAAGCCAATCTAACATTTATACATCATATCCCACCATATCAACTACAGCCATGCGCCGCGCCTGCATCCTCGAATTCATTGAGCTTGACGGCACAGTATGCCTTCCAGGTGCATCGGCTTTGAATCGGCCGATTACCACGCCTGATACCGCCTGGCAGCACGGGCTAGTGGTACCTCAGGCACACAAAAAGAGTGCACAAATGGTTTTCCGACGCATTTTTTGGATGATCAATTACCAGAATTTCAAAAGTCACAACATCACGAACAGGGGTAAGATAAGATGCGTATCGTTTGCTTTCGTATGTTGAAGCCTGCTGCTGCACCTTTGCTTTCTAAATAGTTTGCCTGTTGTGGGCATCAAAAGCGAAGGACGATAGAAATGACTTTTGATTTATTTCATGGCGACATTTGAACTACCAATTGGCCATTGGGATTCTAAATCTAAAGGCATTGACCTAGAATAAGTGTATTTAATATTTATTATAGGTCAATGTTTAAAGCCAACTTTAGGCCGAGCTTCGTAATTCGATAAACGTGAAATTAGGCACACATCATTCACCGATGATAGCGTTGGAACTGGTAACGCTTCAATACTACTTCTACATCAATCAGTTCCCATAAGCGCCTCACAAAGAAGCATATTTTAGTGAAGAATGTAAGTCCGCTGTGTTGTTAGGCCAGCGGTGACAAGATAACAGGGACACGACTTTGTGTACTCTTTGAGTTTTTTTTTTTTTTTTTGTTCAAGCCGTGCCTTGCAAATGACTGTAACCAACTCTTTTGGCATACTTATTTATGCTCCCAATTGTTTGAACCCTTTACGCACGTTTTAAAGCCACCAAATTCGTAAATCCAGATTCGAGCGGGCCCTGATTGACGGTCTTACGGTCAAAGCGTCTGTAACAGTAGGTAATGTTCGGCTCGTGGTGGGAAACTAAAAATACATACTCGTCATGTTTCTGTTCTATTTCATCGTCGCAACACTCATCTATATTTACCAACCAGCTGAATTAGTTCGTTTTGTATTTCGGACAACAAACATCAAATTACAGCAAGGAGCATCGGACAAGAACATCACATCAAGGTACCTAAACGCACTGTGTTTAGTAGTACTTGGCCGGCGGCGGCGGCGGCGGGGCCGTGGTGGTGGGACAGTACGACTGCGGACAGCAGGTCGGGTACTGACCACCAGCGGTGCCCTCACGCACCTCGCAGCCCGGCTCGGCGGCCACCGCGGCGCACGGCACGCGCACCGCCTCACCGGCCTGGCACGTGACCTGGGTGCAGTCGGACTCGGTCCAGACGGCGCCGTCGTCAAACACCTGGTCCAGCTCGGCCGAGTAGCACTGGTCGGGCCGCGGGCAGACCGGCTGCGGACAGCAGCTCGGGTAGGCGCCGGTCGCGTCGCCCTCTTCCAGCCGACAGCCGGCCGCCAGCTTGACCAGCGGGCACGTCACGGAGGCCACCCTTCCCTTGTCGCAGGTCACCTGGGTGCAGCCGGCCTCGGTCCAGACGGCGCCGTCGTCAAAGACGGTGTCCAGCTCCTGCGAGTAGCACTGGTCGCAGACGGCCGTCGGACAGCAGGCCGGGTACTGGCCGTCGACGGCGCCGGCCACCTGTCGACAGCGGGCCGACGGCAGGCTGGCGTCGGCCGTGGCCACCGGCGCGCACTGCGTCAGGCTGGCCTGGCCGTCGACGCACTCGGCCTGCTGGCAGCCGGCCTCGGTCCACTTGTCGCCGACGTTAAAGTGTTTGCTCAGGTGCTCCGAGTAGCAGCGCGCCGGCTCCGGAGGCGCATAGGCGGCCGGCTCCGGAGGTGCATAGGCTGCCGCCGCCGCCACCAGGGCCACAAGGCAGACGAAGGAAGGTGCCATCGTAAGAGTGCTGAGGGACGATGTGTTGTGGACAGCCGACCGTCCGACCGGCTGCTTTATACCATCGAACCTCGCGTGCCACCTGACGGCTGAGCGATAAGACTGACGTGAGCTCGTCGCGACAACGTCACAGCTACTAAGAAGATCGAACGGGAATTTCCTTCTATATAAAACTACGACCAGAAGGTACGTGCCACAAAATACTTGACACGTGAATGTTATGTAGAATGATCTAAACACCAATCGGCATCCGGCATCACTTATAAACTGGACACTTGGGTTTAATTATGTTTATGCTCAAGTGCTCAGCTTGTGAAATAATCACCTCCGCGGGCCCGGGAGGCGTTTTTCGTCCCCCCCCCCCTGCTGAATATTGAGGGTAGCTCCCGAACACTTATAGGAATAGGAAAGCAAAACTTTCAGTAGTTTTCTCCCATCAATTTGACATCTTTTGAAGCAAAAAACAGTTGGCTAGCCCCCATGATGACGTCACAGGGTTGATTTTGTTTTAGACCCCCGCACGGCAAATTTCGGCGCCATAGACGAGAACTTCAAATAATTAGCTGCCAAAAATAGAATCTTACAGAAAAAGACGAATTGCGAGCAAGATTGTGTAGCGTTTGACCTAGATAAAAGAGAGGAATAGGTAGTTTTGGTGATCAGAGATCAGAGGTCAGGTCAACGACCCCGATCCTGAGGTTTTAGTTTTTTTCTCTCTCTCAAATAGCTTTAACCCTCGCACGACCAGGCCATTTCTCATAACACGAACGACCAGGGGGGGGGGTTGTTACGACCCCCCCCCTGGCGTTTCGAAACGGAAGGTCGTAGAGCTTAGCGGAAAAAACCAACGGATTGCTCTCAACGAGAACTCGCGATTGGTGGTATATTTTTTGGTCCTAGGTCAACATTTGACCTACTTTTGACCGGTCAAAGGTCAAATTTTCGGAAAAATAGACTTTTTTCAACTTTCGGCGGCAATTGCGGCAAAACGGTGGGAGATATCGACTTGAAACCTTCACTATCGTGTTCCTTGATCAATTCTCTATCGTTTGGTATGTATTTCGTTTCCCTAGCTCTAAAAATGGCGCGTTGGGAGCGTCGGAAGTCGGCAAGGTCACAGTCGGCGGCAGAAATTCGAAAAATCAAAATTTAAATTTTTGAAATCTGATTGTATTTTTGGATTTGGGAGGTCCATTTGCTCCCTATAGAAGCTAATATTGCTGCATATTCCCATTGAGGTGACAAGAATTAGCAAAATAGTGGTTCGGGCGCTTTTCAAAAATAGTACCGGACGCTGTTCCTCTTGTGACGTCATAGCTCCGTGACCTGACCTGACCCGGTCAAATTTCTTATACCATATGATAGCCAATACTAGCCCCAACATGCATGGGAAGTTTCATCACGATCCATCAACCGATGTCCGTACCACCGGCAGGAAACCTCGGGCGTTGGCACTCAGTTTGTGAAAATCCGGCCGGAGGCTGTACCTCTTATGACGTCATAACTCCGTGACCTGACATGACCCGATCAATTTTTTTTCGACAAAAGATGCGCAAAGGTTGCCCCAGAGGGTATTGAAAATTTCAGCCCGCTACGACAAGCCGTTTAGCGTGCACTTCGAAAAAACCTCAGGGGGGGGGGGTTGATACAACCCCCCCCCCCCTAGGCGTTCTAGGGTTAACAAAAATGGTCCTAGAGCTACGACAGTGTGTACCACCCATTCGCTTTGTCAAGCCGCGTCGAATGAAATATATTTTGTTTGGAAGAGGTTAAGTTTTATGTTGACCTCAAGTCACCTTAAATGACATTTGCTTGACCTTGACACATGAGAGGTCATATGTATCTGATGGATTCGTAGCCGCTGTTCACGAATCTGACAACTAATTTTCCTCTAAGCGTTCATTTAGAGCCTCCGAATGACAAAATTGTCTTAAATATAGCCTCTATCAAGGATACTCTACCGTGAGTTTGACATTGTAGCAGTTTTGTATCGCAAGATGAACCACAAGTATGGACCTTATAAGCCTCAAAGGCAAAACATTTCAAAACATCTAGGAATTTAGTACGCAAGATGTTCGAAAAAGGAAACTGTTTGATGTCAATTTTGAGCATGACCTTGACCTTGACCTTTGATTTCCAACACATTTTCGGAATCCACCGAATCTCTTCTTTTGTTTCACACGATGCCAGTAAAATATTACCGTACATACTTTTGTCAAAAAGTAAAAATCAGCAAAGATGTCGACTTTGTTAATTTCTCTCTCCGGAGCTCAAATGTAAAGTGTTGACTGACGACTGTCCACCTTGCCGAATCTGAGGCACATCAGCGAAAGAGCTGTTAAGAACCAATTGGATGCATATGCAAATTATGCATACGAAATTGCATACTTGCATTGACTATTGCAGAGAACGAATGCATCAGTGGGTGTTAGACTCGTCGAATATAGCTGGATTCGGTTTGAAAAGTAATTAAAGTTCGTTTTTTTTTTAGTTCGACCCTCACTGTAATCGTCTCTTTGAACACAGCACGAGAATTGCTAGCTGAATTACTGAGAAAACTGGCTCGCGCACATTGATTTCACATACGATTAATTTTAGGTATTCAAAAATTTTCCTTTCTGGCTCTTATTTCCCAGACTCCTAGCTCGTATTTTACTATTTTGCCTGTATATACAACCCCACAGGGATAGACGTCTTGTCAGAAATTATAACTGAACTAATCAATAAATCGCACGGCATTTAAGAACGGTGTATCATCGGTGTTAAAAACTCATTTGGAAAATATTATTCACATCTCCAGTGCAATGTGTGCTAACCACTTTTCTAAGTAATTCAGCTAGCAATTCTCGTACTGTGTTCAAAAAGATGTTTACAGTGAGGGTCGAACTGAGAAAAAACGAACTATAGGCAGTAGGCACTCAACAACGTTACACTGTTTTGGACTGTGGGCGCTTGGTAAGAATGCAGAAACTTCCTCCAATTTCATCCTCGTTAAGTCTGCGGATTAACTGCTGTCTTTTTTACAGCATCTAAACCAGTGAGCATAGCTCATTTCAAACAGCATTACAGAGAGACGGCGCATACTGCCCTGGAAGCATCGATCTTCGGTCACTTTTTGCGGATAAGGTATATGGACGATGACGCGTGACGGGGCTGCCCGAATGCAGAACCGGTTTGCAATTCCTCGTAATGGCGACGTCAATATTGACTGCCCTACCGGTACTAAATTCAGAAGAATTTTGTAAAGGGAATGACCAGCTGGCAGACTATATTGCTAGAATTCGGCGTATGAAAAACAAACAAACACTGTTTGACAATCCAATGGGATATTCCGTAAATCGGTGTTTACATAGGGGAAGCTTTTCCGACTGTCAAAAGCATGCCATCCAGCCACATGCTATGCCACTTTTAATTGAACGTAGAAGTGTAATGTTCTGGTTCATAAATACCAATCGCATATAATGGGTGCCCCCCCCCCCAAAAAAAAAAAACGCTCCGAATTTCGGAGGCCTTATATCTCTAATTAACTTGGGCCAAAAAAGAGGTACTTATCGATCTTATATTTCGTATGTGGATGGAATGCGGTAGGGACTATCACATATATTCCATTTTTTCGAAATTCAAAAAACCTTTGGGATTTTTTGGCGATTTTATTAGAAAATAACGTTTTTGATTTTTTTTTGGAGGGGGGTCAAAATAAAAAAAAATCACAAATCCGAGGTGGCAGTTTTATAGCCCTGTTAATTCTACACCTTTAATGTCAAAACGTTTTTCTGATCTCTAAAGCTGTAGGCCTGACAGCTCCTCCCACGAAACCTTTTTTTCGAAAATGGCAGAAATGACGTCACTCCGACTTCATTAGCGGTCAACCTATCATAGCATTTGGGAAATTTTTTGCGCGCAATGTGTAAAAGCTATTCCCGGGAGGGTACTGACTACTGAAAGTTTGGTGACGATCGACGTAGTGATTCTGGAGATATATCGAAAAAAATAATAAAAGAGGTGGTAAAAAATGTCCCCCCCCACCGCCTGGAAGGTTAAAAAAGAAATAACAGAACTCCCACGTCTTTTCTCCGTGATTCTGCTAACCACATTTTAATGTCCACGTGTCTGCCGGAGGTCCCGAAGTCGGTAATTCCACAGATTTCCATCATTCTCCGTGGCGTCAACATGAATTCAGTGGGCGTTCCGCATGATACCACAGTTGACACTCCAGTTGTTTTATAGATTAGCGAGAGACTGCTTGTTAGTACGAAACCATAGACCGGTCCAGGTCCTATCAGATGTCCGGTAAGTACTTACATGCGGCAAGGTGTCGGTTCGCAGGCACGTGCGGACCAAACACGGTCACACTGCACGTGGCTGAAGTGAAACGCCGGACTTCGCCTTTCAAACGATTGCCGGAAATGTGGGTATGCCCCAATAAAAATCACATATGCATGTTGTAGAAGACAAAAACAGCATTTCTGAATTCCGAAGCCCCTACATCCAGTATCCACAGTACCAATACATACGAGTACTCGTATATGCACTCATCTACCTACATCTCTTACACAAATGACAAGAGTTTGTTGAAGTCGAAAGTACCAGCGGTACAGATATTCCCAGCTTTGAAGTGTATCTGATGATTACGAGGAGAGCTGCACAGTTCACTTGTAAATGAAACCAGTGTGTTTAATCTCTTCACATAACCATGCATGTATTTCGATGAGCCTATATCACAGTCCTCACACTAATCAATGGCTTCTATGTGCAATTGTGCAATGTTTTTCGTTCATATCTTCTGAAGAAAAAAAAACTTCCATAACAAGACGCAGTCCGCAATCGGTTCGTCTCATTAACATTAATGTTATTTAGGCTAAGCCATCGGCCTGGTTGGCCTCACTGGCATGTTCTAATTCTAAAAATTTGAGCCACATATTGACGAGAGTCCAATTTTGGAAAGTAAGGTTTGGTGCTGCAGAAGCTAACAATAACGAATACCACAAATCACGTCTAAAACAACATAAATCAAAGTTACATCACAAATGTTGTAGCCGTCCTTCGGCTGCATTTTTCTTCAGGAAAACCGGCATTTCGTTGCTGAACAAGTGTTTCATTGTTCATATAACCAAAGTCAAAATGCTGCCACATGTCTAGTGTCTTATTTGATGTTTCATTTCCTTTATCATCGCCTCTCGACTTGTGAATGGCTTGTGAATGTCGCGGTGTCTTTTGCTTCTATCCATATCTCGTGTCCCCTATGTCTCCTCTTCACTTTATCACTGTCCGCTTTGGTACAATTTCTGTCACTCGGTACCTCCATTCACTGTCATCATCGATTCACTGTCACTGTCACCGGCCCGTGTCACATGTGTATCCCATCACTGTCACCAATTGTTCAGTTCCTTCACAGTCACTGAACTTTGTCACAGTGTTTTACGTCACCATCGGAGGTCACCCACGTGACCAACTGGTGTCACTCACACTGTCACTGCCGCTTCCTCCTGCTAGTTCCTCGTTCTTCTAACACTCCTGCTGTCAGCATTTTCAGCCACCTCTCCGCTCCCCTCCCTCTGTCACCGATGTTATCACGTATTGCCTGCTGTCACTGCCACGTCCACTGTCTTGTATCTCCACGCTCTTCTGCAACTGTCTGTCTGATAGCGGCCGTGATGTCTGCTGGTCTATCACTGTCACTGTCTTCTGCCACATCCCCTCACTCCCTCGCCACTGTCACTGTCTGATGGCGGCCCGAGCTGGCAGCTGGTCTCTCTCACTGTCATTGTCTCCTGTCATATGTCATCGCTTTTTGTCACTGTCTGATGGCGGCCCGAGATGTCTGCTGGTCTCTCTCACTGTCATTGTCTCCTGTCATAAGTCATCACCCCTGTCACTGTCTGATGGCGGCCCGCGCTGCCGGCTGGTGGTCGGGGAAGCGGTCTGGGTAGCGCAGGTGCCCCAGTCGGCGCAAGAACTCGGCTACCTCGGAGTGGTAGTCACCAGGGTGCTGCAGCAGATGACGCACGTGCTGGGAGTCGGCCCAGCACTTGTAAAACACCTGCACGGAAGAAAGATGAAGTAGTCATTGATCTGGCGACAACTGATATAAGAAAAGGCAAGGTGCATTGCAAAATGTGCCTAAAGGTGCGATGAAGAACGAAGGGCACAAAACCACCCATGAATCTTGCAAACTGTTAAAGCGCGCTCATATGGACCCCGTCGGTGGTCCTGCGTCCCACCTGTCTCCCGCTGGCCTCGAAGGCAGCCCCGAGGTCCAGTATAGCTCGACAGGAGGTGACCGGGTCGTTCTGTGACCACAGGAACAGGGTGGCCGCCTGTGGCATCGGGTAGTGCACCACCTGTCGCTTGGCCTCGCGGTAGTGGCGCGTGGCACGCTGCTCCATCCAGCGCAGGTGCAGCCTGATGACATAGGGGAGGTTAAAGGTCAGCTTGCAGGAGAATGACCGCAGTTAAACCAAGCGGATCTTTTATCGGAGGAGGGCATGGCTAGAGAAAAAAGGTCAACGGCGACAAGCAAATCAGACGAGAGACTCATGCTTAAAATTAATAGGTCCACAGTCATACGCGAGTCTTTCCGGCGTATCCACTTTCCATTGCTCAACATACATCCCTCCTATATCAAGCTACGGTAGTAGCATTGTATCAGTTGATTATTCGGTATAGACCTCAGTGTTCAGTCCACACCCGAGCCCTTCCGCTATCAAAGTGCGGCAAACAAACAACAGCCATTGGCCATAGATCCTTCAGCTTTGCCTAATGCATGACATTTTTGACATGCCGATTAAACAGTCAATACCCCATCATATACCACTTACCTGGCATATGAAGCTATCAGGCGTTGTAGTGGCACAAAGTCTGTTAGAGCCATCGGTAGGCCGACAGGTATCTCCTCCATGTCTGCCGGGCTGTCAAACACCTGGCGCGAGGCATAAATCGGGTCAGAAAGCTTGACCGCATATCACATCAAAGTAATCATGAGACCAGGCTCTAATGCAGGTCGGTTCAGCCAGCAGCAAGTAGAGCCAAATCGGCCGGGTCACGTCCGGTCACGTCAAAATACATGGATGGCAATGAAGCAAATATTATGCATACCGCATGCAACAGAAGCTATGAGGGCAATATTTTCTCCTACTTGCCAGATAGGTTAAAATCAAATATAAAAAACGTAATTGAGTTACGTCAGGGACAGGATGCAAAGACGTCGGGCGCTAGAGGTCATAAGGGCTTATTCAACTTACCACGCCGGTGATTTTTCGTGTGATGGTTTTCTCGGGATCCATTTGACAGAGCTGACCAAGGATCTCTCCCCAGTAGTAGGCACCGATGGAGAAACTGTGTACGACGTACTGGTTGACTTCCTCGTGCGTTAGTAAGAAGTCTACCAGTCGTCTTGCTGTTTCCTGTTAATAAAAAGGATATAAAATTTTCACATGCAGGCTGCTTTTTGCGATAGGCCATGGAAAGTCAGGACATATACTCGTAAGTGCAGTGAAGAGCGATCCAGAGAAATTTTCGTCATTCTTGTCATGCAATGCTTGCTCTCCTTAGCGCCAAGTTAAACTAAATAAACAAATAAAATCGCACGACTCCTTTCGCATGTCACAAAGGCATTGAAAACTCCAAATATAAGTTATAATTTTTTTCAAATAAATGAAACTTTCACTATCAATGTTTCCCCTCATAAGTCATAACTAATCATTGTCATACCATTGGCCACTGACCTGTGAGCCCGTCTCTGGGAGCAGCAGCTGTCTAGCTGATATCGTGCCGACCAGCACGTTGAATCCCTGACTGAGGTAGAAGTTGGCGTACTTGCTGATACCCTTCTTGGTCGCCCTCAGCCAGGGCAGCATGACGGCCAGGGGGCGCTCGCCGATGCCGAGGAGCTGAGGTTCGTGTCTGGGTGACACTTGGGACGCCGTCAGCAAGGCCATGTTGTCGCTGAGACGGTGGGCGTGCATGGAGCGAGCCCCCAGCGCCACCTGGCCCAGCCAGCGCCGGCAGAGAAGAGCCATCTGAAGAGGTAGGAACACAGTCCCTCAGTGGGATGGAATTTATATAAAAATATATCCGAAATATTTCTTCTAATAATGGCATTCACTTGCTACGATAAATAATTCGTCGTTGAAAATTAAATGTCCACAAGCCACCGCCCGAGTTCCAGCCCAGTACGTCCTTTCTCTTCACCTTTCCGAGTGATTTTGCCTATATACGGCCTTGATTTTGCCTGTTAAATTTTGCACCTGCTTTCGGTGGAGCTGTACAAGAAAAATGTTTGTATACCTACAAAAGGGAGCACGTGCCGTCGGCCCACTTATTGCTCCAAAGCTTCACAATTAAAATGCACTTACGGTTTCAGGTCATTGAACTTCCAAATTCCACAGGAAGAGGGTGGTAGGGACGGTAGGGACCGAATAAAGACCTAAATTAATCATTCCAAATAGATTAAATGTAACATGTCTTTCAATGACACATGAAAAAAGACAGTGACGGTCACGGACTTGAAATTCAAAAGCACAAAATTTGAGATACCTACCTTCGAACTTCTATGCGAGCTTCAGGAAAGCTTTTAAACCGCGCATGACTGGGGGGCTCTACAGAGCCCCCATCCCGTTTTTCGGCAATATTTTCTAAACCGTTTCACGGATCAACACGAAACTTGCAGTATCCTCAGCAGCATCAATTTGACACCTTGTGTTAAAATTTGAACTTTCTAGCTTCCATGGTTTGGCTGGAAATGACGTCAGAGTGACGTCATGTCGGCCGATTTCGATGCAAAATATTGAATTACGGCAAACCCTCTCAAGAGCTTAGTTTTAAAGCTACATCCAATTTCTTTACATCAGTGAACTACAAATACACGTAGCTATCAAACTGCTATCTCTTTTTTTCAAAATGTTGAAAATTTTGAAAAATATGTTTTTACAATTACAAAAAAATATAATTTTTGATTTTTTTTTTCAATTTTTTTTTGATTTTTCGCAAAACCTGGAATATATGTGATAGAACACACACTGATAAACTACTCTAGCAAGTTTTAGCCCAATATCTTTAAAAATAGCCAAGTTATTTGCATTCCATTGTCAAAATTTTACAATTGTATATATTTCAAAACCATTTTTCGTACGTTTTTAACATCGTGCAGCAATTATATAAATGGCACCATCGTGTTCCTGAGCTCAAACTACATCTGATAGGCACCTTTGTTGTTGAAAAATTTCATTTTCAAAATTTGACTTTTCTGACCTGAAATTGACCGGACCTCCAGTACGTTCAGTAAAAATGACCTCTAATGACACAGACGGCATTTTTCGAAATATACATGTAAAATGGACCATAAAACATACGTCACGCGACCGATACATTATACACAATTTTCGTGACATAGGATGACCTGGCCTTGACCTGAAAATTCGAAGTAAACGTTTGGTACCCTCAGGGCATCTAAGGCATATATCAAGGAGTGCGTAAACCAAAAATGAGCCTGATCTGACTTGGCAGCCGGCGGCCAGAGCCTAAATTGTAAACAAGCAAAAATGCCGATAATTTTTACTTTGATCTGACCTGTGACGTCATCGGTGACCTCGAAGTCAATGAAAATATGTTCCGCTCGACGATTTTCCAGGGCTATCATACGCCGTTTGAATTTTGACGATTGGCCCAGTAGTTTCGAAGATAGGGGGGGGGGGCTCTGGAGAGCCCCCCCCCCTCAGTCACTCGCATTGTTGAAAATACCCCAGTCATGCGCGGGTTGACCTCACCTAAAAAGATAAACTTGGCTCCACAAGGGGCGGAATGGTGAGACGAGAACAAGTCAAACTTACCAAGTTTCCTGTATTCGACTTGTAGAAGACGGTCCAGCCTAGCCGTGTTGAGCCGTGCAACTTACTCCAACCCTTTGTGAGCGACTGACGTGCATGTACTACTGAAACCGCCGCTCGACGCATGGGCACTGGTGCAGGGCCGGGGAGGGAATGGGAGGGGAGGGTCTCCTCATGGACTCTGTTACGGTTACAGGAACTGGGTGCCGGGGGCGGGGAGGGGGAGTCATTAAGGGTCGATGCTCCTCAACCGCAGGCCTGCTGCCCTTCCATTGTATGGGCGGAATGGATACCGGGTAAAACGTCGACCAAACGCTGGCTACCCGATTCAGAGAAACTAGGGCACACATAATACACTACAGGTATCAGCATGGATATAAAGAGTGCGTTTGTTTTAAAGGGACTATCCCACCTTTAACATGGGGTTTGAGTTGAGATAGCCAAGTTTGCGGCGAGGTTCAGAAACCACTATCTATCTAGGTTGCAACCCTCGCGGCCTCTTGGTGTTGAAGAAATTCGTTCCCTTCATTTGAAAATGGGCCTTGTACAAGGCCCTATCTTCAACATGGAGCGACCGTTAGTGTGACGTCACCTCGTTTAGTCATTCTGATTTAAATGGGTTTGTTCGTTGAAAAATCGCTTAAAACTTGGTCTGAACTTTGTTGTGGTGCCTACAGAGTAAAAAGAATCAGCTTTATGACAGTAATGTGGCCTGGGGAAGGAGGTAATTTTGGGCTGTGACGTCACGTATTTGAAAGTTTGTGTTTGGAATATGGGAAGCCTAAGATGTTTAATGAAAAATAAATGCCAGAACCGTGTTCCTGGCCATCCAATCTATAAAGTCGGGCACAATTTAACTAGTTTTAACAACATTTTAGAAGGTGGGATAGTCCCTTTAAACAAATGCATGTTTGGGAAACATAAAGCCCACTTTTTTACATTTTATTATGATTTAGGTACCCAACATAAAAAGCTGCACATAGAAATGTTTCGTAAAATATTTAGGTATGTTATCATTTGGGGTGCAAAATTATCTTTTACCTTGTCATGAAATCGATAAAAGCCATGAAACGTGTCGGGACATATTATTCATGAAATTCAGCATCTTCGCAATTTAGAGCATGCTTTTGTTTAAAGACCAACTTATGCACATGCTTCAAACTATCGATGTATACGAGTTTCTACTGAGCATGAACAGCCGTAAAATCGATGAACAACACAGCCTGTTGAATGAGATCATTACTGACCTACTGACTCAACGGCAAATAAAATAGATTCAGTAACGGAGCATTCACTGACACATAACAAATGAGATCCGATATAAGAGGTAAACGATTTATCGTGCTGACCGCGCAGGCCAGTGAAACGATCATCACTGCCTTTTTCTTTTGAATGATGTTGACCTAAATGAATATTTATGGTTTCAATGCTTGCCGTATACATTCTGGCAAACAAGTAATCGTTATGGACTGACAGTTTTAGCAGAACTGCAAGGCACAGGCTTAGTCAAATGCATTAAACGTCATTTTGTTTGCCTTTCACAAATACTGATATTGCTCTCGAAACAGACAGCAACTCACAGTCACATCGAACACCGCCGTTGCAGCGTGAGAACAGGATGCGTCCTATTGCTTACACAAGCCGGTCCGGGCCCCATCCGCCTATTGATCGTGCCAGTGTCACCCATGCAGGTCACAGTCTCACCCTGTGGAGTCAACAGTTGTCCACCGGCCGCACAGCTGACAGGCTCAGTACCACCCACTTCTTCTGCGCGCAGCTGCTCCTCAGCACGGTTCCCGCTGTCGTCTGGTGGGCCGTGGGGCTCCGCGGACCCCCTCACCCCGTCGACACGAGCCGGCCACGTGACCGGATCAAACACCGATCACGACTCGAATGGCACTGTCGGCTCGCCGGATGACCTTACTCAACCCTCCGTGTAAGTTATGCTGCGCAGCTCGATACACCCGGTCACCTCTCTCCAAGGCTTGTCACTGACCAGTTCATGGCACTCGACTGAGCTATCAGGTTCACAGGGGCCGGCGCGGCTACCGACCGAGTCAGACCGTCGGTATCTGCCCAGCGACGACCGCGGCGGCCGTCGGACGCGTCGGTTCGATACCGCCTCTGACAATGGAGCAGCGCCGACAGCCCGAGTATACACAACGGCGGCTGTGGGACGAGCATCAGTCGAGCTATGTCAGAGACTGGACCGGACTCTGTCTGTTGGCTGCTTTTTGTCCACTTAGGTACGACAAAAACTATGACATTGACCTTGGGTTGGCGACGAATACCGGTATCAGCTAGTTAGATCTGGATCTGAAGTGGGTGGGTCCCATCGCGGGTCAATGGTCGGCTTCCCACGATACTACATATAAACAAGGGTCCAAGTCCATAGAGTCCATGAAAGATCAAACGCCAGAGTATTTCTTTGTATGGCCGTTCTTTCAAAACGCTCCGTTGCGAAGGGAGTTGAGCTTTATCTTTAGGTCTTTCGCGAATATGTAAAAACAGTGGTTTTGGCGCCATTGTTTTTGTCACACTATCCTGACATTGGCACTTAGGATTTAATATTCGAAATTTGATCAGGACATTCATCTTTGATCTTTGATCATGACCCTCATCTTTGATCAACGATCATATCATCTGCCTTATTACATTTCCATGCATCAACTTTTTCGGCAGACGGTCACCCCCATCCAAATCAAATGGTGATTGAAGTTACTACGAGCATGCCCCTCCTGGGTGACTGACAGTAAACACATCCATGGGTTCATGCGCGCCCACTGAGACGCCGCTGGGCCAGTCCCAGCGGAACGAACTCAGCTGCTGTGAAACAGCAGCCGCCCTTCTAATAAGCTGAGTGCCTCTCCCGTATAAATCATTTCTTCCTTGGTTCGACTCAGCAGACCGAAAAGGCCTTGCCCCACATAACAACCAAGCATCTACAGCCGAAGATGTATTGACGAAATGTGAATAACTGCATATTCTGCGTAGCTGTGAGAAATGTTGACAAACATATCGCCACCTCTTCTGTGCTCTTATTTATATTTGCGATCAATTTATGTGTTTTGTAATACGCGGACGACAGAAGACCGATTTACAATGCCATAGACGTCTGTGCATTTGATATGTAAGCGGTAGCTGTCAGAGAATGATTTGGTAGTAAGCACTGTCAGTCCGTTATTAACTTGGGCTTATGATGTAATTAATGACTTATCTTGAACCCCCGCGCCACGCTGGGATATATTCACTATTCAGCCGCACGCGCCCCACTGAAGAGGGTCAGATTGCCCCCCCCCCCTGTCTAAATTCCAAACGGATGTTCGCAGAAAAACGAGAAGACGACAATCAAAGGCTCTCAACAAGACATTTTTGGAGCACAAAAGCATTAGCGTAGTAGATTGCACGTCAGGTCAAGGTCAGGTCAAGGGTAAAAACTACAAGTTTTTCCATCGTTGGCTTTGGAACCCAGCTGGCGAAAAATGGATTGAGATTTATCACCCAGAACGCGTTGTAAGGCTACCAAGACAAGATGTAGCATAAACGATGTAATGTTAAGTTCGAGGTCAAGGCCAGGTCATGTCATCCGAGATCACTCTGTGCTACACATGTTTTATGGGTCATTTTACTCGAAAACACAATCAGCATAGGTACTCAATTACCTAGGGATATGTAACAAAGTTGCACTAGCCTCAGGTCGAGGTCAGGTCAAAGTCAGGTCAAGTGAGGTCAACCTATGAAGTTGGTGTTGAAGAGCAAGAAGTGTCCAGCTGATGCAGGACAGCGCACCGCTCAATCGGCCAATGATTCCACGCGGCATTAGCAGGGTGGACCGAGCAAACGGCGGAGATGTGTGCTGAAGTCAGAAGCGTCTGTCTAATCTACGTCTAATCTGCGTCTGTCTCGAGTTCCCATATGTTTATTGATTTTGTCATGGATTCAGTCAAATTAGATCATTGCATAAACCAGAGACCTTTGTATACCGTGGCATATGCAGGAACGCCAAACTGTGATTCAAAGAACCGCTTCTCTCGGAGTTCAGCACACATCTGTACCGTTTGCATATATATGTTACGGGCCAAGTGCGAAGGCTAGTCCGTTTGCGAACGGACTAGTCCATTCGCGAATGGACTAGGCCGTTTGCGAATGGCGGTCCGTTTGCAAACGGACTAGTCCGTTTGCGAATGGCCGGCCATTCGCGAACGGCCTAGGCCGTTTGCGAACGGACGGGTTTGTGGCGTTGCACTTAGCCGCCGGAAGCATGGATCCTCGGATTGGGGTACGATTCCGAATGAATGGGGGACCGCTGGTCGATGCAGGGGCGTCGCCGACGGGGAGGGGGGGGGGTCGGAGGGGTCCGGACTTCCCTCCCACACACATTCTTGAAAATATGCCGGTCCGACGCCCCCCCCCCCCCCACACACACCACACACTTTTGGCCACGAAAATCGATCAAGAATAAAATAAAATATTTTAAAAACGATTTTGGTGCATTCTCAAAATAAAATTGTCTAAATCCGAGGAGTTTTCAGTATTTGGTGGGGATTACTTTGACTGACCGTCCGACCAGCCCCTAGTCGAAAATCCGTGGCGACGCCACTGCGTCTATATGTTTAGTTTGTTCTCCGGAGCAGATCTGCGAGCTGGCGCAACTCTGGGTTAAGGTCTCCACACACCTGGTCCATTCGGGATGCGACTTTCCGCTGAACCCTGCACAGCGCGGAAATTATAGCAACGTGTTGCCGCTGGCCAGGCTTCGGCCACCGATCTGGATCTGGGGAGGTCAAATATCCCCGTGACCTTCGAACAGCGGAGAGTCGCGTGGTCTGCGGAGACCATTAGTACCGTGCTCCGGGCTCCCCGCTGATGACCCGACCTGACCTTGGTCGAGTTTGTGGCGCTCGATTCATTCTGCTCTGGTGTGGTGTAACCGGGACGGTGTGGCTTGTGTGTGGTGAGTGCGGTGCGGTGAGTGTTCGAAAAACTGCTGTGTTGCATTGCATTTAACAATACGCGCACTGCAGGGGGGGTTGCTTTCAACCCCCCTGTGGTTTTTCACAGATCACGAGAAAACGGCGGCGCGCAGCAAAGCCAAATTTTTGCACATGCCAAGTTGACTTGCCAAGTTGACGTCACTTTGCTGGATATTTCGCACTTGGCCTGACTTCGCACTTGGACTGGGAGCATAAACGCCCGTCCATTCGCAAACGGCCTAGGCCAACTGCAATAACGCACATGGACTAGTCCATTCGCAAACGGCCTAGTCCAAGTGCGTTATCGCACTTGGACTAGGCCATTCGCGAATGGACTAGCCTTCGCACTTGGCCCGCAACATATATATCCAGTCCGCTGTGACGCCGCAGAGTCACTGGCCGATAGCATAGCGGTGCGCTTCCCTGTCCTGACCGCCTATGACGTCATTATCTACGTCATCAAGGACGGTTGCGACAGGAGCCGAGCGGTACGCGGCACTGGAGAGTGAGTGAGAGGTGCACTGTGGCACGCGGCTGGTAAAGGGCAGGAGTGAGCTGGGTGGTGTAGGTCAGCGGTCAGTGGCGGTCGGTGGCTGGGGCCCGGTGGTCGGTGGTCTCTGGTCAGTGCTAGCTAGGTGCTCAGTGGTCATCGTTCAGCGATCAGCGATTAGCGCCCGGTGTTCGGTGGTTAGAACTGGCAAGAAGTCGGCGACTGGTAGTCAGCGCCCGGCGGTCGGTGATCAGAGGTGCAAGAAGCTGTGTGGTCGGTGGTTGATGGCTGGTGGTGTTGTTCAGTGATCAGCAGTGAGCAGTCAATAGTCAGTGGTAAGAAACATTGTGGCGCTGGTATCAGCTTCTCTGCCAACATGTCCGAAGGCGAGGTAGCTCAGGTGGACATAGCCGACGTTGACCCGCTACTGAAGGAACTGGAGACACTGGGAGCCCTCAGCGCCAAAGTAAGACGGTGTTTTGTTGTGTCATTATTAATCGGATTCATTTAAAATGCGTTGCCTCATAGGCACCTTACTTTTAATTCGCATTATAAGTTACTGAATAGTAAAATGGTGAACTTCCTACCAAATATGTAGATCAGCATCTTTATTATGTTTCATCACATAGCCTAAAGAATATCTTTACCTTCACCCAACCCGTCATTCGCACAAGTTTCAAGTGATAAATAAGACAGATGCACAAAAGAAAAGTAGTGATAAGATCAGCCAGCCCCCATTCAGTTCTATAAGAGGTTTTTTTTTGTGCCTCTTTCAGATCCGTTGTCTGCTCTTGCTACTCAAGAATGGGGTCAACAAGAGTCGATGTCATATCTTTGCTATTCGCTCCGAAGACGGTATCGCCGCGGTTGTCGTCACGGTAAGATGACCGTCATTGGACAGCAGAGGGTTTGGGGACAGAACTCGCTCGCTATGACTACTGATACCCCAGTCCTCTAGGGTGTCTTCAAACCAAACGCCGTTTGAGGTCGCCAATGCGAAGTATCGTCGACCAGACGTTCGCGTGACGAGAAATGCAGCTGACATTGGAGCAGGAAAACGCCCGGCTTAGAAGCATACCCGTCTGGACCTGACTCAACCTTCCCTTCCCTCCCACCAGCCCCCCCCCCCCGACATTTTGCACAGTGTGCGGTATGCAGCGGCACGATCCGGGCCGGAACTTATGTAAGGATATGGACGAGCATTACGTTAATGACAGCTGGCACGTTTACAGAGGACTAGAACCATTCATCATTCTGATCCTAAACAGAGTTAAAGACCGTCATCCATGTATTGGATAAGTTTATTTTTATTTGCTCGGTAAGTCGAGGTCGTTGTGCGTCTCACTAAGTTGATGACCTCCGTCTTCGGATGTCATTTGCAACTGCAGTAACTTTGGGCCTATGCCAACGCTGTTCTTATGGTGCTGGGTCTCTCGATCTAAAAAAGAACCAGAGCACAACCAACGGCTAGTTTATTTATGTATGTGGCTAGTACACCTATACATTTCTCCTACCGAGCTCAGCAGCTTAAATACTTCAATCTTCATCGTCTTTACTTACTGGTCTTACTGGTCGAGCGGCAGCGTCATTAGCCGGCGGAGGCCCAATAGTTGGCCCCAAGCAGCCTCTGCTCCTCCTAGCTGGAACACCCTGGTCAGCGCCGCTCGGGAGAGAGTACCAGTAGCCAGCTGGCACATCGTGTGGGCAGCGCGGCCACGGGAGGTGGATTTCGCCACCCAACCCCGCTGCAGGCCTCTCTCGCTCATCCTCTTCTCCTCCCACGACCCGTCGTCGCGGCTGCTCAGCTGTCGATCCCGTATGATGAGTTGGATGTCCTGCGTCCCGAGCTCCAGGTAGTCGGAAGCAGAACCGCTGCCAGCCAGGTGATCGGCTCTGTCGTTCAGTTGGACTCCGGCGTGCCCTGGGCAGTATACCCATACGACTTGTTGAGGGAGGTCGTGCCACTCCGGAGGAGCCGATCCGCTCTCTAGTTTGCGCAGGAGAGACTGAGAGTCGGTGCAGATGATGCACGCGGCTAGATCAGGGTGGGCGCTTCTGGCAAGATCCAGACCGCGGAAGATGGCCTCCAGCTCAGCCCTCATGCTAGAGAGGCGAAGGTTGCAGCCTCCACGGTGGGTCTGCAGGCTGCCCTCTGACTCCCTCATCACACACCCCCATCCCGATCTTGGGGCGCTTGTGGTGACAGAACCGTCAGTGGCCAGGACGACGAGGGACTGTGGGAGCAGACTGCTGGTGTCGGCCAGGACCTCCTCAAACATGGCGCTCACTACGTGTGGTGGTAGCTCACGGTCGGCCTGCGGCTGAAGAGGTCGATCTTGAAGGTCCTCCCGACGCCTCCCGCATCTGGTGGCGGGAGGCGTCGCAGACCACAGGTGAGATCTGCGGATCTTGTGCCGACCGCAGAGACCGCGCAGAGCTTTGGTCCCATCGCGCAGCCAGCCCGTGCGCTGCAGACGTGCCAGTGGAGCGCGTGCCAGGGCTTGGTCGACGAAGCCGTGCAAGGGATGGCCGCAGTCGGAGGCGACGATGCACACCGCTCTGGCTCGTAGGACTTCGTGTAGGTCGACGATGGAGGGCAGGTCAAACATGTACCTCAGCGCAGTGACCGGCGTCTGTCTGGGGCACCCGGTGGCGAGTCGGAGAGCGCTGTTCTGGATCCGCTCGAGCTTGTCCATCGTTGTCTTCAGCGGAGTGATGATCTCGAGTCCGTAGGTGATTCGAGAGAGGATATCTCTCGAATCACGTCTTATATTTTTGTCATTGTACGAGTAGTTGTACTTTATGCGCATATCTTACGACACATGTCGCTTAGTAACAAAGCCGAGAGTTGAGTTCTAACAGCTACTCGAATATCAAAACCGAAATGCTGGCCAATCAATATTTGTCGTCCTTTGTCCACCCGAGCTCATCAAGACTGAGAGATTGCCTTGTGTCGTAACGTTACCTTTTTCATTCAATGTGAACTCTGTTTTGCTCTGTATTCGAGGCTCTCAGAAGCTGTGTAGAATCGGGGGCCGAGCCAGGTCTTGCGTCACTTATCTACTTGCTGCTCTACTTTTGACGCCAAGTAATTAGACGTATCTCGTTTTTGTCTTCTTGTCGACTTTTCTGTCGAGATCTATTCTGCTGTGACAAAGCAATCAAAAGAAACACGTTATAATTTATCCTGAATAGCTGTGATATGCAATAAATCCTGGAAGAAATTTTACTACATGACCTTGACCTTGACTCTCCATCGACAGGAGTCAGCCCCGGGATTTCAATCGCTGTCGGCGGTCACACCAAACACTGCCGAGGGTCACCGACAGATGGCAGCACTGCTGCGCTGGCCGGCGCTGGCCGAGCTGCTGTGGGCCGTCCCGTTCCGTGCCGATTTCGTGCCTCTTTGGCTGGGGCCGCTGCTGGCCTCGGCGGCTGCTGAGCAGGGAGCCCGCTGGTGGCAGGGGGTGACGATGCAGCAGTTCTCGCAGAGCCCCGGCCAGCCGCTGGCGCAGAAAGAAGAGGAGTCCAGGTGAGATTGGTTCTTCTGTTGTGTTGCTCGCAACGTTCTTTTTCATCAATTTGATAAATTACTTGGCTGTAAACCGTACTTACAACGAAAATTGCCAGAATGAACTGATCAAAACTGGATAAGTGAATGAAAATAAAATGTTGATAAATTGCCCGAGTGTTAGCTATTAACAGTATTGAGTATACTGTTTACGCCTTTTTCAAACAATGACGAGAGACTTATCTACCTCGCCAGCAGCCCGGGAATCGTCCTTCGGCCTTTGGACGCAAACCACTTCGACATCGTGAAGCACTACTGGCCGTACGCTGCGCGTGCGGCCGACGCCGATGCCATCATCCGTGACGGGCTGTTGGCCGGCCTCTCCATGGGAGCGTTCGTCGACGGCGACACGGCGACTTCGACGGGAGACGCGTCGACTCCGACGGGCGACGCGTCGACTCCGACAGACGACGCGTCGACTCCGACGGGCGACGGCCTGGTGTCGTGGTGCGTGCTGAACCACAACGGCAGCCTCGCATTCATGCACACGATGGAGAGTCATCGGAGGCAAGGTCTGGGCGGGTTGGTGCTGGGAGCGCTAACGCGACTGCTCCAGCAGCGGGGGTATCCGTGTTCGGCGTCCACCGTTCTGGGACCCCAGTATGGAACCAGGGCGCTGCAGCAGCTTGGTTATACACTCGTGGGGGATGTGCTGGTCGGCGGTGGTGGACCGGCCACCGATTCAAAGTAGCACTGTCAGGATCGTCATTTATGTCACATTAACCCGGCCGGGCCCGGGGGGTAATCCCAACCACCGCAGCCCGGGGGGGGGCGTTTTTCGCCCCCCCCTGTCTAACTCCGTAAATAAGGGAGCTACGGAAACAAAAGCGATACCAAACGAAAGGTCCTTACGAGACGATTCTAATGCACCCAAAATTTTTGACCTCAGGTCAATTTTCAAGGTCAGAGGTCAAGGTCAAAGGCCAAAACCGGCACATGTGTAGTGATCTCAAAGTAGGCATTCTAGAGGACGGCAGGCTGCATCAAACCGGCAAAATTGGGTGTCAAACGAAAGAAGAGAATCTGAGGATTCTGAAAATGTGCTCCAAATCAAAGGTCAAGGTCAAGGTCACGCTCAAAATTGACCTCAAACTTGGCACTTTTTCGCACATCTTGCGTGCTAACTTCCAAGATGTTTTGAAATGTTTTGAGGCTTATCAGTTCCCTATTTGTGGTTCATCTTACGATACAAGGCTGCTCAAAGGTCAAGGTCACAGAAGAGTATCCCTGCTAGAGGCTATTTCACTGATTCAAGTTAGTAATAATAAATAAGACAATTTTGCCATCCGGAAGCTCTAAATGAAGGCTTAGAGGAAAATAGATGCCAGATTCGTGATCAACGGGTACAAATCCATCATAAACGACCTTTCATGTGTCAAGGTCAACCAGAGGTCATTCGAGGTCACATGAGGTCAACATGAAACTTGACCTTTTCCGAACAAAATATATATCATTCGACGCGGCTTGACAAGGCGAATGCGATGGTACCACTGCCGTAGCTCTAGGACCATTTTTGTCGAAGTTATTTGCAAAAAACTAAAACCACATTTCGGGGTCGTTGACCTGACCTCTGACCTCAGGTCACCGAAACTATTTTTCTAATTTTCTCTAGGTCAAACGCTACACAGCCGTTCTCGTAATTTGTCTTTATCTCTAAAACTCTATTTTTAGCAGCTATTTGAAGTTTGCGTCTGTGACGCCGAAGTTTGCCGTGCAGGGGTCTAGAAAAATGGACCTTGTGACGTCATCAAGGGGGCTAGGTCCAAATTTTTTACTTCAGAAGATGTCAAATTGATGGGAGAAAAGGTACTGAAAGTTTCGCCTTCCTATCCCTAAGCGTTCGTGAGTTATCGCAAATATTCGCCAGGGGGGGGGGGGCGAAAAACGCCCCCCCCCGGGCCCGCGAGGGTTAACAGGAATGAATAGTATATAGTTGTGCAGACAGTAACTTACCCCGGGGTAACTTTAAACGGGATAACTGACGACTGAGGCTGTAACTGTCAGAGCGATTGCTGCAGTCACTGTCCCACGTCACACAGTCACAGTGACCATGCGGCAGTCACTGTCACAGATGGCGGCCACAGTGACTCGACCAAAGGAACAGGGTAGATGCTTCTAATAGCGTAGAACAAAAATAAAACGGGTAGGTACCTATATGTATTCGAAAAGGGAAGTAGTGCAATTGTTACGACTAATTGTTCTTTTACAAGTATATGCGGGGTATTCTAATATGCGCTTGAATGAGCCTATGGAAATCATTGAAAGTATGCATGTTTTCTTCATGTTAGACAATAATGAGTAATGACATATCTATGACATTGTAAAACCTTGAATTTATTTACATAGGTCCTGTTTGTAATATATTCATCTTTTGAATAAGCTGGTTTATTTACAAGTGTCCAGTCATTCAGATTTTTGTCATACCATGAAGCTGTCAAACCTCATCGATCTTCCATAGCATTTGAATATCATGAATAAACTGCGGGCCGACCTAGAACCGCCTGAGCCGGCGCGTGGCGGCGCGACCAAGCTGATCGGCCAGCTGAAGCAGCGCCAGCACCGATCCTCCAAGCAGCAGGCCCAGATTCCCTCCAACATCTGCCACGAACGCGTCCAATGGATACGCCTCCAGTTCGGTGAGCCGCTCGCGGGCGTCGGCCAGCCGCAGTCGCAGCACGGCCGTGGTGCGTCCGCGCAGCTGCGGCTGGAGGAGCAGGTGCTGTGTCTCGCCCAGCCACAGAGACTGCTGGGAGTCGGTACGGTAGTGGTGCGTGTTACAGGGAGGACGACATGACTGGGCAGCCGACCAGAGCAGAAAGTCGGGGTGGTCCAGCAGGTCCTCTGACGGAGAATGGGGCCCAAGCGTCACGCAGCTAATAGCTGCTAAACACATCCATATCATCGATCATAAATAACCATTCTGTCAAATGTCGTGAAATAAATGCAAATAATGGCTGCATATATGTGCAGCAAAAAAGAGCATTTTAAAAACCCGCAATGTATTCCTGAGGCTGTGACATTGTCTCCCTGTGTCGCTGTCACAACTCACCGGGAATGGCCAGCGCGATCAGGTAGTCGTGGAACGACCGGCAGCTGCTGACCGGGCCGGCAGAGGAGGGCAGGCGACACGGGCCGTTGTCCGTGGCATTAATATCGATACGAATGTGCTCCACCACGCACGCCTCGTACTCGCTGAGCGCATTAGGCCGCGGAGAGCACCGGTCATTGCGCCGAGAGGCCAGCACCGGCGTCAGGTCCAGGCAGATTATACGACCCGGGCTGACCAGAACCTGAGGTAGGCGGAACTGTCAATGACTGTCGATTGTGACATAATACGTAAATATACTTACATAATAGCACAAGTGCCTAAAGCCAAGTTGACATTTGTGTATCTTAGTTCCAGGGCAATTTGGTGACAGTAATTGAGTAGTGCAAACGTCACGAGGCTGTAGCAACGTATAATCTTTACTTGCATTTTGAAGACGGGAACAAGTGCGGTCACCTGGTCCATGAGTCCGGTGTACATGGTGATGTCGGTGAAGCGGACGTCGGGCGCGTGGAAGAAGACGCGCCACCCGGCGTGCTCGTACAGCTCTGTGGCCGAGTCCTCTATCAGGGTAAGCTGGATCTGACAACGGTAACGCATTGAGGATTACTTTAGAAACACGGCCACTTCGGGTAACATAGTTGGTAAGTAGGAACCAACCCTCTTTCTGGGACCAGCATTTGATTTTTGACATTTGCAATGATATGAACGCCTTTGAGCCTTCAGCCTCCACTGACCTGAATCTGCTCTCCAATCTGTAACTGCTGTGCTGACCTCAAGTATGCTGCATCTACGGCCTACGCTGACCTGATCTGTAGCCTCTTTGCTGACTTGACCTCCAGTCTGTGACCTCTGTCCTGAACTAGGCGCTGTCCTGACCTCTGACTTATGACCTCTGTTCTGACCTGAGCCACAATGTGTGACCTTTGCTTTGACCTGATGTGACCTCTGTGCTGACCTGGGCGCCGATATGCTGCTCTTGGACGGTCCTGTTGGACACAAACGTGGTGCACAGCCCGTTCAGGTGGGTCGGAGTCTCGTAAAATGAGCCAGCCGACGAGCAGTTCGACAATAGAACCTGCAAGTTGAACGGAAACGACAAATTGTTGGGCCTGGATCGATCTGAAGACAAAAAGTCCAGAAATGGAGATAGTTTGTCGGAGATAAATGGGTCATTATGCCGAATGCAACAGTCGGCTTGAGTAACATGAATCGGCAACCATTCAGTATCAATTTGACTATTATCTATAGCTAGTTTTCTTGATAAATTGGCAAGTTATCGCAATGCCATTGCGAAGATTGGACAACAGATGCATTGTTGGAAAGAATAAAACGCTCATAGCAGCAGACAGCACTTCTACAAGATAAATATTCTACAGGATGCGAAATAAGCCCTCTAGATTCGATTCCTTTGTCGATTACCGTATTTCTCACATGACACGAGGCGACCATGTCTGACCAGCGATAGGAGGCGTTCCAGTAGAACGAGTTGTAGTCCACCTCACCCCAGCGGAGCAGCCTGGGGACCAGACACATTGAAAAACAAATGTTCGCACAATAAATGACGTTTCTTTCTAGTGATTGGGCTGTTACTCAGCGCCGTAAGTGACGGCTTAGTCATTCATGTGAGATCTCCGTCAGACGATAGATATTGATTCATTGATTGCAAGGCCTGGCACGCCACGAAACAACCAGACTTCATGATTATCAACCTAAACACATACGCCGTTTATCAAAGGACCATTCAAGAGGAACGAGGATTACATATCTAGTCACATTGAACCTTAAACGGAAGAGGTATACATAACAATCGAACTCAGTTGTCGTTCGAGGAAGAAAGCGAACGTTTAGCTGGAGAACAAGGAACCTCTCATCACCTATTAGCCGTCTTTTCCCTGATCCCCTGATCCCCAAAAGGATCAGTAGAAGATGCTTCTCACCTGGGTCCGTGCCTGACCCAGTCTGCCCATGTGGTGCCGTTCACCGTGCTGCTAAGCACCACCTCCTTCTTGAAGAGGTTCCCGTGGCAGACGGTGATGGCCGGTACGGGGATATTGTCCAGCTGCTCGATGTCCCAGTGCTGAGTGATGGAGCCGGCCAGATACCTGGCCGAACAAAAAAACACGGGCATAGCATAGTCCCTAGGAAAAACTAATAGTAGAATTTCACTCTAAGCTGAGTGGTCTATCAATCATCAGTTTCTATAAAAACGTGCATCAGCCATTTCCACAGCAACGGCTGGAAACAACATCATGTTACTATTAACTTCTCAGCAGCGAGTCTTGCGGTGAATTCTTAGGTAAGTGAAGTAACTTTGGCGGAGCTAGTATTCACAACCGAAACTGCACCCGAAAGTTTGGCAATATCCGCCTTCGACGGTTGCACCCCTTTCACCTGGATCCGGCAGTGAAGAGCTGGAGGGCAAGTGTCCCAAATAGGATTCCGTAGATAAGACACCAGCAGAGACGGTAGGCAGGGTCCTGGCCGCCCTCTGCGTTCGTCGGGTTCGGTGTCGGACGCAGTTCGGAGGGTTTATGCGGCGGCGAAGAACAGTGTGCCCGGGGACATTCGCCGCGGTCCGGTGGGGTCACCACCCACGTCGGGTTGCCGGCGCCGTGCGTGGCTCCGTGGTGACGAGATGTCACGGTACTGGGCCGGCGCATCCCCGGATGAATGGTTTGCATTTCGATAGGTCGTGTGCCGCCTGTTTCCGCCGGGGCAACAGCGTGCTCCCGCAAGTCAACCTGAGTTGAGAGCAAACGTATTTGGTATTAGCTTTTATTGATAAGTTTTAAATTAGGCGACTATATCGCGTAATTCAAATTAGGTGGTATAGCTTACTCGGTATGGTAATTAACAATCCTTATGATGGATGAAAGCTTAGAACATTTGAAAACGAAAGTGGCAACGTACACAAAACCTGTAAGAGATCAAAATCATCCGCAAACGCTTACCCTGCAACCCAATAACTGTATGCTATAACATGCATATCAAAATTTATTCAATTGATCTGACCTGATCTGACCTTGCTCTCGTCCGCATTGGAACGCTGCATTTCCATGTCACTCACTCGTCACACCATAGTCACACACAATCTACGAAATTACATCACCAGTTAGCGCCTAGCAGAGGCAAATTTCGACGCTCAACAGGTCTCACTGGATTCAAAGCCCTTTTCGAAGAGGCAGGTCTTCTTCTTTCACCTATAGCTACCGCCCGTGTGACCTGGTTCTCGTTACGACCAGCACTGCAACACAACTGTCTCGCGACCACGCCTGACATTAGAGAGCGCTATGACAACGTTGCGTGCTGCAATTTGAGTCTTTTGACTTGCATGATGATGATATACCACGCATGCTCGTCATCATTTGCTGCGGTACGATAACAGTGAACTCGGTCTCCCTAGTGGCTGGCCAACATTTTGATAGCGCGCGTAAGTCATCAATGAAGTGCATCCTTAGCAAGAGAAGCGTGGAATATCATTACTCCGGGTAATACAGCGGATAATTGCATAGAACAATCGCAAATAGATGGCTGTTTTGACGGACCATAGCTCTTCTGTCAGGCAGTTTGTAAACGCTGCGCAATAGGCTAATGTGCATTTGTGTGCAATTGTTCCGGGTTAAAACAACAGACGGGTAAATGGTCATTGAACACGTAAACGCTTCGGCCGGTTTTTTGGGTAGTTGATATTGCATCGTAATAACTACAACGATCAATTCCAAGAAGTCTTAGCTGCTTCGGATACTTCTTTGCAAGCTGTCTGATATCTAAAATCTTATTAGATTCCCGGGAATATTTATATATTATTTATTAATGTTGTTGCATTCCATAACACCAATGGGTTTTGCTAGCAGCGTGAAACGATGTGATGCATTTTAATTGCAATTAAGTATTTATATTCTGCTTACAGACAAAAGACATTTCGAGTACCAGACGACACAGACAACTAACAAGCATCACCTCAAAGCAAGAACAGAGTATCGGTGGATGCAGTAAACGGTTAGCAGGCCGCTGTTATAATATTTGGAATGGACTGTGCAGCTGTGCTAAAACCAGAGCAGAAGGCGGCTTTGCTCCAGTCTTCAATGCTTCTTCCAGCGTCCTTTTCTGCAGTCTGCCGACTAGTTATACCAGCTGACCCGGTAGGCCCCGGGCCGCTGGGTCATTGCGGAGGTCATCTGTCGCTCACCAGCCACCGTCTGCGAGTGGCGCGCCATGCTGCTCCTGCTGCTGTCCCATCCACTGTCCATCGCCTCCCTGGCCGTGTAGAAGTCGGCTCTCTCGTAGCCGGGGGACATGGAGCGCGCCCTGAGGGCGGCGCCGGCCCGCTGGCCGCGGTACGCCGCCGGCGACAGTGAGCGGTACCGCGGGCCGTACTGGCGGCCGTACCGCTCGCCGTACTGGCCGCCGCTCAGAGCCGCCGAACGGTCAAACCGCACCCGGTCGCGACTCACGGCCCGCGAGCGGCGCTCCGAGAAGCGGCCCCGCGCGCCGTCCTCCTGGCAGACGTAGTCCTCGTAGTCACCGCTCTGCCACTCGTAGTCGCCAAACTCTCCCCGAGCTCCCGACTCGAGGTAGCGGTGGCTGTAGTCCTCAAACTGAGATCCATAGTCTCCTCCAAAACGCCACGGGGTGCTTTGACGGGCCGAGGTCGTGTAGTCGCTGTAGTAATAGTCTCCGTAACGACGGCCATCGGAGTAAGGAGACGGGTAGTAAAACCGGCCGTAGTCCTCACAATCGTTGGCGAACGGCGACCAGCTACGGAAGTTGGAGCGGAATGGGGAGCCGCTGCGGTTGTTGTAGCGGAATGGAGATCCGCTGCGGTAGTTGGAGGGGAATGGGGAGCCACTACGGAATGGGGAACCACTACGGAATGGCGACCCGCTACGGAATGGCGACCCGCTCCTGAAGTTGGAGCGGAACGGAGACCCACTGTGGAAGTTGGAGCGGAAAGGGGAGCCGCTACGCATGTTGGAGTGGATCGGGGAGCCGGAGCGGAAGCCTGAGCGAGAGAAGCGCGGCTGGAACATGGTGCTGTCTGCTGTGTTCACTGTCTGACTCTGCAGGCCGAGGTGACTGGAGTTGTGTCGCTGTCCCGAGCCGGCGCAGCTTTATACCCGGCAGGAGGACGGCGGGCATGGTCCGGTGGCGTTTTGGGGTGAACAAGACACCGGCGACGGAACCCGACACTCTGACACGTCACCTTTTTATGAGTGTTGTACGCTGGGCGCTTGCTCTTCAAATATCAGTGAATTCAGCCCAGTTTAGTGTGATGCATATGCTACAGACCGTATGAAAACCCAGTCCATTTGCAAACGGCCTGGCCTAGACAGCCCGTTTGAAAACGGCCTGAAAAAGCCGGCCATTTGCAAACTGCCTGAAATATCAGATCAGGCCGTATGAAAACGGCCTAGGCAGTTTGAAACCATAGAGATTGAAACGGCCTAGACAGTTTGAAAACAGCCTAATCAGTTTTCAAACGGTCTAGCGAAGTACAACAGCCTCTGATGATGACTCAATGGATCCAGGTTGGTCGATAATCAGGTTGTATCCATGAATGCTTGCGCATTCTGCCGAATGACTCGTCTACGTCGAACATTTTCTTACTGTGCAGACTGCAGCTGCTCGGCCCGGCCGTTTTCCCGACATTATTACTAATAATACAATTGATTAGTCCGCCTGTTTACGGCCATCCAGTTGATGAAGCCTGGTGAAGCCGCCAAAGGCAGTACATAGGGCGACGTAAGCAAAGTGTTGCTGATGCACTTTTTTGTTTGGGGATGCCGTTTCGTATTAATTGGTGTGTGGGGGAGGGGAGGGGGAGAGAACACTTGCGGCCCGTTTGGAGGGGAAAAGGGCAGAATCCTGAATACAAACGATAGAGTGGTTAAGTCGGGGTAGAACCAACACAAATTAAAGTATGGTAGTGTTGTATGAAAACTTCATCATAACCCGGTCCTCACCGCGCCCGGTCGACCGGCGCGCCGGCGCGGCGGCTGGCCGGTGGCGGCGTATGTACGCCGGCAATAGCCGTTTTCACTACGGCCATATGGTACACATTTGGTGCATATCTGGTACAGATTATGTGCAGATTTGGTCAAATCAGGTTCAGTGTGTCTCTTAGCAGCTATTACCTGGGGTTGCACTAATTGTTTATATGCCTGCTTTGTCATATTATCAGAATTCAGAGAGCATCCTCGATTTAAACACTGAAATAAATTAATAAAATGAAGATATTTGCTGTAAAAGAAATTAGGTGCAGATTTGGTCAAATCAGGTGCATTCGCCGGATAGCCCGTCGTGAAAACGGCTAATACGACAATTGCAGTGGAAGGCGAAACTTTTCAGGGAAGCCCGGGCCAACCGGGCGCTAACCGGGGCCTCAGTTCTGCTAATCTCTTCCTACCCCGGATTTAAGAGTGGACTCAGATCCTCAGATCTTAGTTTGTTTGATTGCTCAACAATCAAGCAAACTGAGGTAGAGTGAAGAGTCTACTCTAAAAAAGATTTATTCCTTTAACCCGCGCCCCGTTGGGCTCTGCCGAGCAACGCGCCCTGTTGGGGGGGGGGGCAATTTGCCCCCCCCCCCCAAGATCTCGAGAACCACGCAACCTAGCGACAAGTGGCAAACGGTTTTGGATAGCCCATCAGGGAACTGCCTTGTGACCCAATTTTATTGACCTAGGTCAAACCGATGACGTGACAGGTCAGGTCAAAGGTCGAATTTTCACCGTTTACAGGCATTTCAAGATATGCGCTGTAAAATCGAGTAAAATGCATTTCATTGAAAATCATCGATGGGGAAATGTTTACAGATTTTGCTATTTGAGGTCACTGATACCAGGTCAGGTCCCAGAGGTCAGGTCACTGAGGGTCACAATATGAAAATATCATGTGATTCATGTATTATGGTCCATTTTATATGCCAAATACGATTATGTGGGTCAGGCAGCCTTTGGGGTCAGTTGAGATTATGTTCTGGTGAAGTTCAGGTCAAGGTCAGGTCAAGGTCAGGTCAAGGTCAGGTCAAATCAGGTCAAATTTCACAGTTGATATTTTGCATAAAAGGGTATCGATTCGATGCAGCTCGTCACAGGGAGTTCAATGATTGTCTTTGTTTTGCCCTACGTGGTCGAGAATCGCTAAAAATTGAGCTAAAAAAATTGACGTCATCATTTTTGAACAGTTTTTTTTTCGCTATAACTTGGCCAAAAAAAAAACGAGATATCGATCTGAAATTTGGTATGTATATAGAAGAGCTCAGGGACTATTACATATATTCCGGTTTTTTCGAAGTTCGGAATTTTAATGTTGATTTTTTTTAGTTTTTCCAAAAATCAATTTTTTTGAATTTTTTGGGCCAAAAACCCATAATTTTGTAAATCCGAGATAGCAGTTTTGTAGCGCCGTTTTTTTGACTCCATGACCATATAAAGAACTTTGAAATTGCTTGGTAGTTCTGTAGATTTGGTGAGCGTTTCAAGATTGCATGTTTTTTGCTCATTTTTGCTCGAACATTTTTGCTCAGTTTGACCTCAATAACTCCTGACCTAAGGTGACCTAAGACTTGAAATTTTGTGTGAAGGTATCAAATTGATGCCCGGGAAGGTACTGAAAATTTGCTGCGCGACGCCGTTTTTTGCTATTTAGGAAAAACCACGGGGGAGGCCAAATTGCCCCCCCCCCCCCAACAACGGGCGAGGGCTAAAGGGGCGACATACAGCCCTCTTCAGTCTCCATATTGAAGTCTTTGTGGCTATGGAATGTCATCCGGACCAGTCGAATGCCAGTTTTTAGTCACTAGTCAGTCTGTTGGATTTCACGCACTTTGGGCCAGCTCCACGCAGCGACCACGGGCATGGCCGATTCTATCGACACGCATCTCGATGAGGAGAGAGCGATGCCTTCGGCGGTTTGTGTACGGCGAACGGTATTTACAACGCACGAGGGAAGTGATGGTTCCCTGTTTGTTGCACCAAAGACAGAGTAGAAGCAGAGAGAGGGAAAGATAGAAAAGGAGGGGAGAGAAAAGATTGGATAGAAGGAGTTAGGGACGGAGAGAGAAAGAAAGAGAGAGAGAGAGAGAGAGAGAGAGAGAGAGAGAGAGAGAGAGAGAGAGAGAGAGGGAGAGAGAGAGAGAGAGAAACAGACAGACAGACAGACAGACAGACAGACAGACAGACAGACAGACAGACAGACAGACAGACAGACAGACAGACAGACAGACAGACAGAGAGAAAAAGATAAGATAATAAGATGTATTGGCCCTTCACCCTATTCCTGGCGGGGGGGGGCCTCAGGAGCCCCCCCCCCTGAGGTTTTTTGGTTATATCTCCCAAACGCGTTGAGCTAGGAAGCTCAAATTTTCTGACTTTTCCTAAAAGGCTTCTACGCAACATGTCTGAAAATTTTGAGTTGATCTGACCTCAGGTCAGGTCACCAGAGGCGGTTTGGTGACGCTACCTCAGAAAAGTTTGCAATCACGCCAGAGCTAGAGTTTTTGACCGATCAATTTCTTCTCTTCAGGGTTTAGTTAGGGTACCAGTATGTGCAATTTGTATATCTCGGAATTTTGATATCGGTGACCTAAGGTCAGGTCAATTTCGCGACCTCCCCATTATAAGTCAATGGGGGAAAAATCAACTCCCTGTTTTTACCACTAAAACGGGTCGGAATGGCCCCATATACCATACATGACTTCATATACGATCAACCTTCACTACCTTGAGGTCTGTTTTGCTGTTGGGCAGCTGTGAGGTCATGTGACGTCATCAAAGGTCACCAAAGGTTTTTGGCCAATAACTCCGTACAGGAACAAGATACAGACGCGTGGATGGTCTCATTGTGTTCAGCTCGTCAAGACGCATCGAATGATATACATGATGACCTCGAGGTCACGTGACCTGAGGTCAACCTTTGACCTTGACCTTTCGAGGTCAACATATATATCATTCGATGCGGATTGACGAGAGGATCACGATGATGCCCTTAGTTTGTTCCTATCTTGACTAATTCGAAAGTTATTCGAGAAAAACTCTCTCCATATCTAGTGCCGCCATTTTGACTTTTTCGACCCCTGTGACGTCATCTTTGACCTGACCTGAAAATGACCTTTGTAAAAATTGTAGATCTTGGCCGTGCGTATCCGATGCCGTTTACCGCTTGTCGCTATCTTGCTTCGTTCTCGAGATCTCAGGGGGGGGCCGAATCGGCCCCCCCCCCCCCCCCGCCAGTTTCTTGTCCCGGCGGAGCCCGCCAGGAATAGGGTTCAACTCGTTCCATCAGTCATTTCCCCGCAGAAGTTACTTCGCAATCCACAGTCCCCAGCCTAGCGTCAAAAAGAAGCAGCGCGGCGTCAGGTTCCATCGCCGGTGTCTTGTTCACCCCCAAAACGCCACCGGACCATGCCCGCCGTCCTCCTGCCCGGGTATAAAGCTGCGCCGGCTCGGGACAGCGACACAACTCCAGTCACCTCGGCCTGCAGAGTCAGACAGTGAACACAGCAGACGGCACCATGTTCCAGCCGCGCTTCTCTCGCTCAGGCTTCCGCTCCGGCTCCCCGATCCGCTCCAACATGCGTAGCGGCTCCCCTTTCCGCTCCAATATGCGTAACAGTTCCCCAATTCGCTCCAGCTTCCGCAGTGGCTCTCCGTTCCGCTCCAACTACAGGAGCGGGTCGCCATTCCGCAGCGGCTCGCCATTCCGCAGCGGCTCGCCATTCCGCAGCGGCTCCCCATTCCCCTCCAACTACCGCAGCGGATCCCCATTCCGCTACAACAACCGCAGCGGCTCCCCATTCCGCTCCAACTTCCGTAGCTGGTCGCCGTTCGCCAACGATTGTGAGGACTACGGCCGGTTTTACTACCCGTCTCCTTACTCCGATGGCCGTCGTTACGGAGACTATTACTACAGCGACTACGCGTCCTCGGCTCGTCAAAGCATCCCGTGGCGTTTTGGAGGAGACTATGGAGCTCAGTTTGAGGACTACAGCCACCGCTACCTCGAGTCGGGAGCTCGGGGAGAGTTTGGCGACTACGAGTGGCAGAGCGGTGACTACGAGGACTACGTCTGCCATGAGGACGGCGCGCAGGGCCGCTTCTCGGAGCGCCGCTCGCGGGCCGTGAGTCGCGACCGGGTGCGGTTTGACCGTTCGGCGGCTCTGAGCGGCGGCCAGTACGGCGAGTGGTACGGCCGCCAGTACGGCCCGCGGTACCGCTCACTGTCGCCGGCGGCGTACCGCGGCCAGCGGGCCGGCGCCGCCCTCAGGGCGCGCTCCATGTCCCCCGGCTACGAGAGAGCCGACTTCTACACGGCCAGGGAGGCGATGGACGGTGGATGGGACAGCAGCAGGAGCGGCATGGCGCGCCACTCGCAGACGGTGGCTGGTGAGCGACAGATGACCTCTGGAATGACCCAGCGGCCCGGGGCCTACCGGGTCAGCTGGTACAACTAGGTGACGACCTCGGATTTATAAGGGTGCACGGTGGAAAAACTCGCTTCGCACGGTCACGCTCGATCCTGTTCAAATGCGAACCAATTTGTGCAAAAATAGCCTCAGAATCGTACATATTGAAGTTTGCACTGGCACCAGTACGCTCTTCTCCGTCCGGTGTTTTGCGTTTGCATGCTTCTTATGACTTACTCATTTTCGAGGCATCGATGCTGCAAAAAAGTGGGAAGTTGGGAACTCACCAATCATGAGAACAATACAAAGCTGTGAAATTAACAATTGTTCGCAGAATGCACACAATATCAAAATCCTGTCAAAGATTTACTAAAACAAACATGATTGTCATTGCAAAATAAGTTATTGGCAATGCACTGTGTTGACTGCATGCATTTATGTGCTTTAATGATTGGTAAATAAAATACATTGAAAACTGCCTTCTTGAAACGGATGATTGGGCGCTTAGATCTAACTTAACATTAAATCACCGTTTGCTTTGCTATGCACTTACTTTATTTCAAAGCTGATAATCCTTCTAAGATTTTCTTAGCATTGTATGCATCCGCTCGGGCCTCGGACGCGTACTTTCTACCTAGCTTCACGGTGCAAAAAAAAACGAAGCTATAGGATCTTTGTTTGTTTGTTTGTTTTGTTGGGTTAGGTCCTTTCGGTCCAGTAAGACCATTTCAGAGCCGGGAGGATGATAGGATATAGGGGGAGACATTGGTCTGGGCAGGCACCCTAGTGAGTCGCCGGGGCTGAGCTCGTCCGAAGACAGGCCACCCAGCCCCAAGGCACTCACTGCGACTGCACCCGGCTACGGGGTGCGCTCCCTCTGGAGCAGCGGTGCCGCTCCAAGGGAGCAGCCCGCATGAGATAAAGTTGCCTGTCCAGCCCGGAGGGGGGTTGCGGTGTGGAGGAGAAGGATTTCAGTATCCTGAGGATAGAAGCATGGAACGGTGTATAGGATCTTATGTTAGCAGCCCGTGATAGCAGCCCTTGATAGAGCGCGTCCGTGTTCTAGCACTTGCTCTCAAGTCTCGGGTCTCAGCTTACGGCTGTTCACCGCGATGCTTTGGTGCTGCCACCTGTTCAGCCTTGTCCCTATCCTTCACTGACGTGCTGCCACCTAGACCGCGTCCTCTCCGCTCACACCTCAGACTGTGGTGGTGAATTGTGCTGCCCTCTGTGTACGGGAAACGCAAACTGCTGTGCCGTAACACATTGCAAAATGATGGATAATATGCTTAAGTCTTCTTAAATAATCTATAAAATACATTTTGGCAGATGTTTGGCAGGGCTTGAAAACTTAAACTCATTTAACCCTCGTCAGGCGAGGGGGCCTTTTCCATAACACGGACGGCGAGGGGGGTTGGTACGACTTCCTTGGCGATAGGTATGCTCTTATGGCACTTTGAAACGCCAAATTTACAGGGTAGGTGGGCCCATAGGAAATCTCGCCCCGTGAAAATTTGGTGATTCTAAGTCAATATTTAGGGGGGTTTGGGGTTATAAGTGCAAAAATCTCTAAAACATGTTAAAGTTTTTTTTTTCGCTTATAACTTTTTACCTTAAGATAGAGCAAAAATAAAAGCACCAGTGAACTCAGGCCATCCGTGCGCATCGAAGGATTTGCGTTTTTACCAATATGACTGAGCTTAAAACTTTTTAAAAATAAATAAGTTGAACTTAACCCGCGACCTGGTGGGGGGGGGCTATTTTTTGCCCCCCTCCAGACTTTCGATATATCTCCAGAACCGCTGCGCCGATCGTCACCAAACTTTCAGTACCCTCCCGGACATCAATTTTACACATTGTGACCAAATTTTTTTCCAAAGGCTATGATAGGTTGGCCGGAAATGACGTCAGAGTGACGTCATGTTCTGCCGTTTTCGACCCAAAAAAGGGTTTCGCGGGAAGAGCTGTCAGGCCTATAGCTTTGCAAATACAGAAAAATGATAAAGACATAAAAGCTGTAGATTGGACAGGGCTACAAAACTGCTATCTCGGATTTTTGAAATTTTTGGATTTTGACCCCCAAAAATAAAAAAATAGATGTTTTGGATAAAATGATAGAAAAATCCAAAAAAAAATGAATTTCGCAAAAACCGGAATATATGTGATAGTCCTTACAGCCTTCCATCCACATACCAAATTTGAGATTGATACCTCTTTTTTGGCGAAGTTATAGCGAAAAAAACTGTTCAAAATTGATGACGTCAAATTTTTAAACTCAATTTTTAGCAATTCTAGACCCCGTAGCGCAAAACAAAGACCACCATTAGACTCCCCGTGACGAGCTGCATCGAATCAATACCCATTTTATGCAAAACTATCAACTTTAAAATTTGACCTTTTTGGCCTGACCTTGACCTGACCTTGACCTGAACTTCACCATAAACTGACCTAAGCCGGACCTGATAGTCTTATAACCAACACCATTGAGTTGGAAATGAAAAATTGGCCATAAAACATGTATCACACAACCTTAGTAAAGTTGGGCTCATGTGACCTGACCTGTGACCCTTGGTGACCTGACCTGTGACCTGACCTGGTATTGCCAGTGACCTCTAATAGCAACATATCTACTAGGCAACTGACGCCCTACCGCTGATTCTCGACAAAATGCGTTTTCCTCGGTGTTATAGCGCATTCCCTAGAAGCCCCGTGAACGGTGAAACATTTCATCTTTGACCTGACCTGTGACGTCATCGGTAACCCCGAGGTCAATGAAATTTGGTTTCCTTCGACAAATTTGACAGGCCTTTCGAACGCCGTTTGAATTTTACGGATCCGTCCAGTAGTTTCGGAGATACGAGGGGGGGGGCAAAAAATAGCCCCCCCCCCCCCACCAGGTCGCGTTATAAACAGACCCCACCAGGGCGCGGGTTAATCAAAATCCATCCATATCGCATATCATTCGAAACGCCTGCTCACAAGGAACACAACGACACCATTTTTTAACCCGGCAGTTGCTGGGGTATTTCGCCACCCACCGTTTGCTGGGGGGGGGGGGGGGGCGTTAAACGCCCCCAGCCGATAACTCGAGAACCAATAGGCGCAGCGAAACGCACGCGGCGGCAAACGAAAGAGCGCGACGAGACGCTTCAGATGAGTACTTTAAAGTTGAACTTTAAGATCACAGGTCGGGTCAAGGTCAGGTCAAACACCTGAAATCGGGCTTTCAGTAGCATGGACTTCAGGACTTCGCAATGGGCACCTCTCGTCATAAACTCTGTCAAAACGGTGCACAATCCATCATATAAGGCCTACAAGAGTGTCAGCTCCATGTAGGGGTCAGTCAATCATAGGTCAGGGTCAAGGTCAGGTCAACCGGGTAGGCACATATCCCCGAAAATCAAAACTGATATTCGCAGCCTGTGACACATGTTTTATGTGTAATTTGGGGCGTAGAACACGATGGTGACATTCATTTTATCATATGTGTACGTGTTTGGCTCAAAAAGTTCAATTTAAGAAATGCATGAATCATGGTCGTGAAGTAGTCACGAAAAATTGCCAAGATTCAGTTCAAGATTATGGAAATGCGGAACGATAATCAATAATCGAAGATAGCCATTTCATTGATCATGGTATTGGCAGTCTAATGGCGTTTACGGCATGTCTGTATGTCTATTTTGTGATTTTATATGATTTTTTGAACATATGCCGTTTTTGGTCGAAAACTCAGAAATCATGACGTCACTAAAATCTCGATATCTCAAAAATTTTCCAACCGATTTTTTTGAAACTTTGTCACGATAAACTCCAATCAATTCCCTACAGGTACCCAAAATTTGGCGCGCCTGCGGCGCGCCGTTTTTATGCTATGGCCCGGCGAAAAAAGTGGGGGCGTTTAACGCCCCCCCCCCAGCAACTCGCGGGTTAAGCTCTAGCCTAATTTTGTGCCAAGTTATTAGCAAAAACATAGTTTGACCCTAGTTGACCCGACCCTAGCGTTCTTGCAGATTGCAAACACCAAGTAGATGTAAATAAAGGTAGTACAACACAAAAACGGTAAAAATCAGCACAATTCTATCATCTTTACACATTCAGGCAAATTTCCTTCAAAAATGTCGTGACCTCTAGATGACCTCAGGTCAACCGAATTTGAAACACTGGGATGCATATGATGGCACTCGGTGACTTAAGCATATCCTGCAAGTTTGAATCAAATCGATTAAGAACTCTAGTTTCCATGAACAAAAGAGCGCAATTTTAGGGCCATTTTGACAATGTACCGGTTTTTGTGACCTCGTGACCTGACCTCAGGTCATTTGAATCTAAAACTCCCAGGTCATGTGTCAAATAGATGCCCCAAGTGCCCAAGTCGTATCTGAAATTTGGTAGCGCTACGTGCCATAGCACCCACGCTATCAACTCTGACATTCAGTTGCCGCTAAACTAGTCCAATTTTCCCCTAACCTTGTACCGGTTTTTGTGACCTGGCGACCTGACCTGAAAAGACTGGGATCTGACGTTTTCAGGATAGGTGCGAAAAGGTTGCTCGAGAGGGTATGCTAAATTTGGCGGTGCTACGCGCCGCCGTTTTAATGTTATTTGCGAAAAACCTTAACCCGCGCCCCGTAGGGGGGGGGGGCCGAAACGGCCCCCCCCTGTCCTTTTCGGTCGATATCTCCTAAACGGCTGGAGATATCGCCACCAAACTTTCAGGACCCCTCCGGGCATCAATTTTACACATTGTGACCAAAAATTTTTCCAGAGGTTATGATAGGTTGGCCACAAATGACGTCAGAGTGACGTCATGTTCTGTCATTTTCGACCGAAAAAAGACCTTCGCAAGAAGACCTGTCAGGACTACAGCTTTGAAGATACAGAAAAATGATCAAGACATAAAAGGTGTAGAATTGACAGGGCTACAAAACTGCTATCTCGAATTTTTGAAATTTTTGAGTTTTGACCCCCAAAAATCAAAAAAGCATTTTTTTGGATATATTCGCCAAAAAATCCAAAAAGTTTTTTGAGTTTCGAAAAAACCGGAATATATGTGATAGTGCCTACCGTCTTCTATCTACATACCAAATTTCAGATCGATATCTCGTTTTTTGGCCAAGTTATAGCGAAAAAAAACTGTTCAAAAATGATGACGTCAAATTTTCAAACTCAATTTTTGGCAATTCTAGAACTCGTAGAGCAGAACGAAGACCACCATTAGACTCCCCGTGACGAGCTGCATCGAATCGATACCCATTTTATGCAAAAATATCAACTTTGAAATTTGACCTAATTTGGCCTGACCTTGACCTGACCTTCACAAAAACGTGACCTAGGCTGGCCCCAAAGGCTGCCTAACCCACATAATCGCATTTGTCATGTAAAATGGACCATAAAACATGTATCACACGACACGTGCATATTGTGACCCCGGTGACCTGACCTCGCTGTGACCTGACCTAGTATCAGTGACCTCAGATAGCAA